ATACAAGTAACCTTCCCAACACTGCAAACATGTGACTAAGTGAAAAACTGTACCTATATGTATATCTGTAAACGACCTCCATCTTGTGACTGTGATATTATTGAAGGGGGACAGTACGATGAGATAGTGCTAAAACTAAACTCCCATTCAAGTCTAACTTGAGTAACACAACTTCAGACAGAGCAGTGCCTCCAGTTTGCTTCACCCCACCACCATGAAATGTTAATGACATCTGTTACAAATTCATTCATTTCATTTCATTTCTTTATTTATTTGAGTCAGGTACAGCAAACATTCAGAAACAATAACAAAAACAGGGATATGTACATGAACAGATTTGGGACCTGGTGCTCAAAAGGAGGAGGATGAAGTTTCAAAAACATATAGAGTCCTGCCCCAACTGTTTTACATAATCACGTGGTTCACACTTTTGTTTTTTTTAACACCTTTAACACTTTTGGACTGCTTACCTGTCATTACACATTACATAAACATACACATACACACATACATCCATCCATACAACATCCAACACATCCACACATACATACCATCCACACATCATACACACACACAACATACACACACATCCATACACACACACATACATACATACATCATACATACATACATACATACATACATACATACATACACACACACATACATACATACACACATACATACATTTACACACACACATACATACATACACACACACACACATACACATTACACACACACACACATACACATACACACACACATACATACATACATACATACATACATACATACATACATACATACATACATACATACATACATACATACATACATACATACACATACATACATACATACATACATACATACATACATACATACACATACATACATACATACATACACATACATACATACATACATACATACATACATACATACACATACATACATACATACACACACATACATACATACATACACACACATACATACATACACACATACATACATACATACATACATACACACATACATACATACATACACACACACACACACATACACACATACACACATACATACACATACATACATACATACCCATCCTTATTCTAAGCTCACATGGACCTTTTGAAGCAGATCCATGATGCAGAGTGACACATGGAAACAAATGCAGCTTCCTGCACTTAGGTGGTGGAAGGCGTCTGTAGCCACAGCTGCCCTGGGACAGACTAACTGAACACTTAGAGTTAGCTATATGAAAAGCTCGCTAGATGAAAAGTATGAAGTGGTCAAATACAGTGTGTAGGTGAGTTTGTAGTCAATTTAAATTTGAAAGGTTGAGGGAAAATAATAAAAAGTCTCCCAAAAATATCAGCAGAGCTGATTTGCCATGTGTTGCTCTGGATTCTAAACAATCTGTATTAAAAAATAAAAACAACATTCAGACTCATTTGAAATAGCTAATTTGCTTCTTTATTTACAATGTATTTACAGGACCTGTGTGTGGTGATACACAGACACAGGTTTCAGAGTGGAGACTGGTGACAGCTCCTCCTCTTCTTCTTCTTGTTTTTGTAGTAAACTTGGACTTGGAGCTCCTCCGCTTTGACTGTGATCTGCTGCAGCTGATCATCTGACTTATTCAGGGACAACTGCAGCTCTTCACGTCTGAGGAGAGCAGAGGTTTTCTCCTCCTCACTGCGTTTCAAAGCCGTGTTCAGCTCCTCCATAGTTTTCTCGTGGGGTATGTTCTCCTCCGCCGTGGCCTTGCGGATTGTTTGACATTTTTGTACCACAGCTATGAAACTAATTTTCTGTGAGTACAAGTCATTTTGTAGTTTTTTGACTTTGTTGCGCTCAGTGTTGAGGCTCTCCTCCCGCTCCTGTGCCTTGTTGAGGGCCTCTTCAGATGACCGTGTCTGCTCAGCGAGAGCAGACTCCAAGACAGTGACCTTCTTCTTGAGGGCTTCGTTCTCCTGAACCACCTGCTTTAACTCCCTCAGTCTCCATGTCTGTTTACGACTGACATGGAGTTGTTCTTGGTGAGTTCTTTGGAGCTCCTGAAGAGTATTCTTCAGCGCCCTGTTTTCTTCTTTACACTCTTCTAGTTCCTGCGTGTTCTTTATACTGGCCGCCTTCAAGTTCTTGATGGTGTTGTGGGCAGACTTTAGCTCCTCAAAGAGATCAGAGTCATTGTAGTGTCTGTTTCCCTCCTGCATTTTCAGTTGTTGTTCCAGCTGCTTCACCTTTTCTTGGTGTTTGAGGGCGAGACTCTGCTGTTCTTGGGAGAACCTTTTAAGATTTTCGTTCTCCTGGTAGAGGCCCTCCACATACTGGTTTACCATCTGTCTACCCTTCTTTAACATTTTCTCTCTTTCCTTGTCTTTTTCTTCGAGCAGATATTTCCCAAACTCTATCATTGTTTCTTTTTCCTCTTGAGCTTGGCTCAGCTCTTTCTGGAGCTCCTCACAATTCTTCTGGAGGGTTACTTTCTGCTGTAACACCTGCTCTAACTCTCTCAGTCTCCTTGTCTGTTTATCGTTGACGTGGAGTTGGTCTTGATGGGCTCTTTGGACTTCCTGAAGTCGCCGTCTCAGGTGCTTCACAGGTGAGCTCTCCTCGGGTGGAGGAGAGACACCCCCTGCGGTCGCCTGAGCTGTAGCCCTCATGGTTTGATACGTGTGTGTTCTGCCGTTTTGGTACATGTCTCTCGCTGTGAGATTCAGTCTGGAATGAAGTTTTTCAGTTCAAGTCCAGGCATATATACTCTGGACACCTTTATGACATAACAGCTGTCGCCACGGTGATAGAACATGGAGTACGAATATGTTGGAATGTTGAGTTGTTACCATGGAGACAGAACCTGTGAACATGTGACAAGTCATGTGACCAAACATGCAGTGTTGGGGAGTAACAGATTACATGTACTGGGGTTATGTAATCAGAGTACAAATTATGAGTAACTGTATTCAGTTACAGTTACTGTTTCAATGAGTGGTAATTGGATTACAGTTACTTTGTTGAAATATATGGATTACATGGTGGTATTGTCCTGTTTTGACATTTTGGGCTAAACCAGGACTAAAACCAGGACTAAAACCAGAACTAAACCAGGACTAAACCAGGACTAAACCAGGACTAAAACCAGGACTAAACTAGGACTAAACCAGGTCTAAACCAGGACTAAACCAGGTCTAAACCAGGTCTAAACCAGGACTAAACCAGGACTAAACCAGGTCTAAACCAGGTCTAAACCAGGACTAAACCAGGACTAAACCAGGACTAAACCAGGACTAAACCAGGACTAAACCAGGTCTAAACCAGGACTAAACCAGGTCTAAACCAGGTCTAAACCAGGACTAAACCAGGTCTAAACCAGGACTAAACCAGGTCTAAACCAGGACTAAACCAGGACTAAACCAGGACTAAACCAGGACTAAAACCAGGACTAAAACCAGGACTAAACCAGGACTAAACCAGGACTAAACCAGGACTAACCAACTAAACCAGGTCTAAACCAGGTCTAAACCAGGTCTAAACCAGGTCTAAACCAGGTCTAAACCAGGCTTTCATTGTCTTTTAGCAGACAAAACATTTTAGGTGAAGATATTCTAGTCTCTGCTTCTCTACAGCAAATCAAGTAATCCAAAGTATTCAGATTACTTTACTCACTTTAAGTAATTTAATAGATTATTTAGGGGTGTCAAATTATCGCGTTAATTGCGATTAATTAATTACAGTCATATTTAGCGCGTTATGTTTTTCAGTCGTGTTAATCTCATTTTTAATCTCTAACTTTACTGTTTCTGTATGCGAGTTGCTTTATTATAAAATCAGTTTTTTATCTGTTGTTGGGACAACAACACACACACAAAAAAACACATTTATAAAGTTTTTTATTTTGGTAATTCCACTCATTGCCGGAAACCCACACAAAACGCTCGCAGTAAGAGCGATGTAAATGTCATGTTAACGTTGGCGGCGTCAGTCGCACAATGGACAAGGTTGAAGAGCCAGTAGAACAGAGGCAGCAGAGCACAGGGAAAAACACATTCGTGTCTTGGAAATTATTCTCCCGACGTGAAATATAAAGAAAATAACAAATATAAAATTGCCTACAACTTAAATGTCACTGGTGAAAACAACCTGCATAGGTTCATGATGTCTGCACTACTGTCCTATACACAAACACACACAAACACACACAAACACACACACAAACACACACAAACACACACACACACAAACACACACACACACACACACACACATACACACACATACAAACACACACACAAACACACACACACAAACACACACACACACAAACACACACACACACGCACACACACACACACACGTGCGCATGCACACACGCTCACACACACACACGTGCGCATGCACACACGCTCACACACACACACGTGCGCATGCACACACGCGCACACGTGCGCATGCACACACGCGCACACGTGCGCATGCACACACGCGCACACGTGCGCATGCACACACACACACGTGCGCATGCACACACGCGCACACACACGTGCGCATGCACACACGCGCGCACACACACACGTGCGCATGCACACACACACGTGCGCATGCACACACACACGTGCGCTTGCACACACGCGCACACACACACACACACGCGCATGCACACACACACACACGCGCATGCACACACACACACAAACACGTGCGCATGCATGCACGCACGCACGCACACACACACGCACGCACATGTACGTACACATAGGGTTTCCATTTTTTCTTTAACCTTAGTCACTACTTGTTTAAATTGAACCTAAAGCCCTTCCTTAACTTTTTTTTAACCCAGATCTGATCTGATCAGTTGATGATACAATAATAGGGGATTTAATGCCATGGGGATCAGATTGTGTCTTGTGTGTGTACACACACACACACACACACACACAATGAAGTGGAAGGGAGCCACATGTTGCTCCTGCTCTTGTTTTCAGACGGTGATTGTGCTCTATGCCTTCAGTCGTCCACACCTGCTCCACCCTCAGCTCCAGGGCAGCCCAGACCTCTCCCACTACCAACACCACATCCTCCGGGTGATCCTGCGGGTCCCGCTCATGTGTCTGCTGGCCAGCCTGGCTGCATCTGTCTGCTTTCAGCTGGTACATCCACACTCACATGTACAATAGTATTAAGTCAGAGGCAAAAGCCACAGCCCCCTGTAGTGACGGTCAAAAGCACAATGTTTAATGGAACGTTCATCTCCTAGAAGCAGCAGATAGTTGTAGCTCCAGAGATAATAGTATATTACTGTTCATATATGTGGTTTCTTGTGTCTCTGCTCAGTCCTATGTGCTGTTGGCCATTGTGATTTTCCTGCCTTATATGTCCCGCTGCCTGCAGTGGGCCCGGAGCAGGGTGCTGGGTGAGTGCACATCCACCCTCCCTCCCCCAGAGATGTGACAGGTGCAGCAGGTGTGTGGCAGTGTGCCAAATGTTGTGTTGCAGGCCCAGTGGAGGAGTCCCCTGAGGAGCTTCTTCTATACTCGTTCCTGCCTCATGAGCCTCTGAGTAAAGAGCGTCTGGAGGCGTTCAGTGACGGAGTGTACGCCATCGTGGCCACGCTGCTCATCCTAGACATCTGGTGAGCTGAAGCACAGCTGCACCGGGCCTCATACATGTCCATATGTACTCAAGAGTGCAGGCCTTTTTGTGTGTTAAGTATGCTCATAACAGGTGTGTATATGTCCACAGTGAGGACAACGTCCCAGACTCTTTGCTGGTCTCTCAGCGCTTCAATGGCAGTCTGGTGGCCGCTCTGCGCTCCTATGGCCCTGAGTACCTGGCGTACTTTGGTTCCTTTGTCACTGTGGGACTCCTCTGGTTTGTGCACCACTCTCTGTTCCTCCATGTGACCAAAGTGACGCGGCTGATGGGCCTGCTCAACACCTTCTGCTTGGCTTTTGTGGGCGGGCTGCCGCTAGCATACCAGCTAACGCACGAGTTCCCCCGGCATTCACAGAACGAGCTGGAGGCCATCCAGATCAGCTGTGTCATCATCTTCTTTGCGGGGCTTTTCCAGCTGTGCATCTGGGTGGTGGCCTTGTACAACCAGCATGAGTGTCTGCAGCCCAATGTGCGCTTTGGAGGCAGCGAGCACCTGCTCATGCTGGCCAAACTCTGGCTCTACCCCTGTGTGGCTCTGGGCACCTTCCTGCTCACCTGTGTGCTCAGCCAGTTCAGTGCACCCATCTTCCACCTGATGGAGCTCACCGTGCCCCTGGCCTTTCTACTGCTGCGCCTGCTTCTGAACCTCCTGCTGGGCCTGGTGCACCTGCTGCTCCTCCAGCTTCGCCCCTCCTCATCCGAGGGGGGCTCCACGTCATCCTACTCTGCTGTGGACACTTAGTCTCAGAGCACGTGTTTAGACCAGAGCTCATTCTACACGTCCAGATTAATGTGAGAATCCTAGTACATTTCCTGCTCACACTAAATATCCTTGATTTGCCTGATTTAATTGTAAATGTAACTGTCTATAGTCTAATAAAGGTCTTTTTTTTTTATTTAAGAGGAGGTCATGTGCAGTTTTATGCATCCTGGAGAAATTCTTTCTGATGTCATTTCCTCAAAGTGTCTGTTTTCTGTAGGTGGGGTTCTAGGTTAAACAGCTTGCCGTTGTGTTGTGTGGGTGTGTGGCAGTCTGTGTTACTAGGCCCATACAGCAGTCAGGAGTCTGGAATAGAACCACAGTTAAGGAGGATAAGCCCACCTTTTCTCCACAGGCATAAAGGGTTAAACACGGCACAGGACTTAATGGTCGCCCAGAACGTCAAATGTGCCAAACATGATGAGTAAAGAAAAGCAGACGCCAGTACAGAAATCCACTTTATTCCCACAGACACACAAGCCTCTGTGTGCTTACATTCCATTAAATACACTTCTTATTTCTTCATTGCAAAAATGAAAGTCTAAAACCCTTAAACAGTCTGTTCCCAGTGATCCCACAGGACTACAGTGAGGTCAGGAGCCTTCAAGCATTAAATATGTGCACTAAGACTACTGCATATGTGCTGTCCTCACACACTCCAAACATGAGCCTAGTACACACAACATACAGAAAAGTAAAGCCAGGGGGCGCTGTAAAACAGTAAAGAATAAATAGAAAGACTGGGTCCAGAGGCCAGAGGACATGCATGTGCTGTCCCAGGGGACAAGCGTCTCCCAGGAGAACAGTCAGTGCTTTGGTTCAGGCTCATCCACTCTCTGGATCTTTGCATGTGATAAATATATTTCAACTCTTAAATTATCAGTGCCCAAGCAATTGTTGCAAACAGTGGACAGGAAATAGGTAAACTATGTCATTCAGTTCAGGAAATAATAATTAAATTAAATCTACATTCAAAAATGTAATGCTTAAAATACAGAAGGCAGCAGCAGGGGCTGAGCACTAGAGCGCAGCAGAGGGTACCACATGCTCCTGTTTTTCTACCTGTAGAGGGCGCTAACTACAGGGGCACCACTGTTTTCACTGATTTCTAAAAACAGGCTGCTATTATCTATGGTTAGCCTCATGCTAGTCTCATGCAGACCACATGAGAGAGGTATCAACTACTGGAGCAAAATAACTGGCAAGTATAAAGTCCCTTATTGTAAGCACAGGCAGCCCTCACACATCCTAGAGTCTGAGTCTATCAGCTCCTAGAAGTCATGCTACAGCTACGCCTACATCCCTGTGCAGTTTGCATAACAGTACATGAACAGGTTTAGCAGCTGTCAGAGACTAGCTACAGATTCACTTAGTTAAGATGATGATCTTATATACAGAGTTCACATGCTGTGTATTGAGTTTCCTACAGATGGACACAGAGCGGCTGCCATGGGGTGGAGCTATAGCGCCAGGATGGAGGTGATGTGTGCAGAGTTCTGTGCTAGGGGGCGCTTCACAGCCCTGTCTTCATGCTGCCCCAGAGGAGACGTGTGGAGGTAGGCCTAGGCCTGTGCTGGCAGCAGGCCCCGCTCCCTCAGATGGGAGTGCAGGTTGTGGAAGATTGTGAGCTGCTGCTCTGGCTGGAGCAGGAGCAGCTGTTGGAGCACCTTGCTCGGGTTGGGCCCCCTGTGATCACACACACATAGGACAGTGTGAGTACATGCTCTGCTGGGTGGATGTGTTTGGGGTGGGATAGTCTGTGGACACTCACCGGATGAAGCTGGCGATGTAGACGTGCACAAAGGTGGCCATGAGGTACTGGCAGTCGAAGCGATCCATGATGCCCCCGTGTCCCGGGATGGTGTTGGCAAAGTCCTGCACACAAACACGGATTTATACAGGCGCTGTGTGCGCGCTACATGATTACACATGAGGACACTGTACTTTGATTTTGAAGGCTCTCTTGAAGCCACTGGCAAAGAATCCACCAAAGGGTCCGATGAGAGACGCAAAGGACGACAGGAAGACACTGTGAATCTGGAAGGGGTACAGCTGCACCGTGTCCTGCACAAAGCACATGTCCTCGTCATTATCATGTCCCTCCATAGAGACAGACTCCAGAGAGGACAACTGCTGTGCCTCACACTGAGCCTCATGTGTGGTGCTCTTGTGGGGTGTTCTTATGGGCTACTCTTGTGGGGTACTTGTATGCAGGGTGCTCATGTGCGGGGTGCTCATGTGCAAGGTGCTCTTGTGTGGGGTGCTTGTGTGGGGTGCTCTTGTGTGGGGCGCTTGTGCGGGGTGCTTGTGCGGGGTGCTCTTGTGTGGGGTGCTCTTGTGTGGGGTGCTCTTGTGTGGGGTGCTCTTGTGTGGGGTGCTCTTGTGTGGGGTGCTCTTGTGTGGGTGCTCTTGTGTGGGTGCTTGTGTGCGGGGTGCTCTTGTGCGGGGTGCTCTTGTGTGGGGTGCTCTTGTGTGGGGTGCTTGTGCGGGATGCTCTTGTGTGGGGTGCTTGTGTGGGGTGCTTGTGTGCGCAGTGCTCGTGTGCGGGGTGCTCGTGTGCGGGGTGCTCGTGTGCGGGGTGCTCGTGTGTGGGGTGCTCTTGTACGGGGTCTTGTACGGGGTGCTCTTACCCAGCCCAGGGTGTTCTGCAGTGCTGTGGGCAGGGTGTACTCCTGCAGCTCAAAGATGGAGGATGGCTCACACTCGACAGTGAAGCTGTTGCTCTCACTGTTGTAGCCCACAGGACACACAAAGTACTGGAACTGAGACAGCAGGTACGCCAGCTGTGGACACCAGGGGACACAGGACAGCAGAGGACAAACGGTCAGAGGATCGGAGGGGGACAGCGGAGGACAGAGGGTCAGACGAGAGGACAGTACTGTATGCGTAGACAGAGATGTGCACATCCAAAAACAGTTAAGCCTGGGTGCTGGGTCAAAAATTTTAAACTTTACAGGAGAAAGTAGATCCACATAGCAGTACTTTGAAATAGTCAGAGATTGTATTTTGAATATCAGCACATTGTGACATTTGGGGAAAAGCTCCAAAGACCTGCTGTGTGGATCTACTTTCTTGTCCACAGAGGACAATGTGTCTCACCAGGAAGCCGAACACGACGGTGGAGAAGAATCCTCCGATGAAGCCCTCCCAGGTCTTCTTAGGGGACAGCTGAGGGACACACACAGAGCAGTTTACAGTGGGCTTCCTAAGTGTATAACAAAGTGGACTAGGAGAGTGTGATGTAACCCAGTGCTCGGCTCCAGTCAAATGAAGCTTGTCGAGGCTGGCAGTTATAAGAGCAAATTTGGCGTTCCACATTTGGAATTCTGACCCCAAGTATAATAGCAACGACAGAGACATCAGGACAGGGATCAGGAGCAAGGCTGTTGAAGGTAACACCCCTTCCTATCTACACTGCCAGTTTAGCAGGGAGCGGGGGCTTAGCAACGCTGTCAATCAAACCTGTTGCTAACGCTAGCGACCTCGGAAAAAGAGGGCACCTGATTTATCTGTTATCTTGATTTACAGAACAAAATAGCAAAAAAAAAAAAAGGATCGTGTAGAGCGGGTTAATACAAACATTTTAAAAATGACACATCTGACAGCAACAGTTACAGAGAGACGGGCAACATTTTTTCAATACAAAGTGAATTGGAGCCGATGGAGCCTGTGCCCGTGCCAACTTCCTAGGTGGAACATGTGACTATCAGGTTAGCCATGTCCATTTCTACATACAGTCTGTAGTATAGAGGCAGACCTTGATGAGGGGAGTCCTGCCGAAGAAGAAGCCGAAGAGGTAAGCCATGATGTCATTGCAGATCACGATGGAGATGGGCACGATGAACCTGCCCAACACAAGCACTGGTCAGAGTCTGTTCAGAGAGACTCTCATTCATGTGGAGCTGTGGCAGTTTATATTTCAGTCTTATCTCTTTCTAGAAGATAATGATTTGCATAGAATGTTCCCCAGTATAGCATTATCTTGCATTTATCCAGTTACAGGTGTTTTACTGCTCAGAAAATACCCAGACAATATATGAGCCGTTTTATTAAGTGAGCAAGTGAGCGTTAGCCTGCTAGTTGTTCTAGGCATGTGAAAAGCACTTATAACTAACAATTAGGATGCTCTGAATGCATAAGGTCAGTGAGGAATAACTTTGGACCACTGCAATCTCAGTTCAAATGAACTAGTTTTGTTTTTCACATTTTTAAAGCTCTTACGGTCTTAGAACAAAATGCACTCTCGTCAGCTTGTTACCACATGAAAAACAGACCTGGAGTTGTGTTTTGTTTCATTCTCATGCTTTGTTCCACCTTGTGATGTCATGTAGTGGTAGTTTTCAAGTGAACAGCCCCTTTTACCTTTAATTCAGTAGACATGGATAATTCCAGGACTGAAATGATGCAAGTGATTCTTATGAAGTTCCTGTATTAGCACATGGCATCGTAAGGTGGAAGAGTGTTTTCTGTTTGAGAGAAGTCTAAGGGTTTATTTATTAAACACAAATAGCAAATATCAAATAGTGACTTAGACAGTTGTCTTGTTCTACATCATGACATAAACATGAGTGTGATGCTGTGTCCTCACCAGATCATGCCCTCAAACAGGTTCTGGATGACCAGGTGGGACTGGGTGACTACCAGTAGCAGGGTCACATGGGTCCAAGCAAACTGCAACACACACACAGAAGGCAGAGATCAGTGAGAGCGCACCTTGAGGACAGGGACATGTGGGACAGAGATTTACAGCAGCAGAAAGAGAGCGCAGTGGTCAGGGTGAGAGGAGATCAAACAGGAATTACACTGAGCTTTAGTACAACATGTGTCTTAGGCAGCAATGGCAAAAAACTGATAACCCAATCTTAAACTTCTCAAATTTGGACACAGGTTTCACTGTAACCTTTCAAGTTATTAAACCTTAAATGATCAAAATGTCCCTAAGCTCACCTTAAGCGATCAGCCCTTGTGATGTCCGTGTGGGGGGCAGTGGGCAGCGTTGTTGGGGGTAAGTTATTGAGTTAGTGAGCCTATTTTACTGAAACAGCATGCCGGGATGTGTTTTTAATACAGACGTCTGCTTTATCCTCCTTTTCACTTCTGTCTTATTTATTAGTTATCACAGTGCATGCAAAAGTTTAGCGTTCATACATTTGCACGAGCGAGCCCACCTCAAACCTTGAACTTAGTTCATATTTTAAACAACAGATGGTGCTATTCAACAGTGTTCTTAGTGTGTGTGACATCTACTCAGTACTTAATGGAACTGTATGTAGCCTGTGCTCTTACTGTTAAAAAAGTATTACAGTCACAACTGACCCTGTCTCCAGAGCCTTCACCTGCAGATAGAGACACACACATAAGTTTGTTTCATTCTCAGTAAATGAACAGGCCTCATGTGAAGCTCAGAACCTCTAGAATTCCCTCTCTGAGCTGCAGAGGCTGGACTAACACTGACTCATGATTGGTGCAGGTGCTGGGGTTTAGTGACCATTCAGATCAGAGAAAGACATTTTAGGTTTAAACCAACTGGATTTCAACACTGACACTGGCAACCCAAATAAGGCACCCATGTGAGGCTCATTCTGCTTTCTGATTAAATAATTGTTTGGAGACCCAAACCACCAAATTCTAACATAAAAAACACTGCCATCATGTCCAGTATGAATTAAGAGTAAGAATTACATACAGTTACTTTAAGTGCCATAATGACAAGTATAAATGAAGTGGAGCTGCAGTGGGGGCTTAACAGTGTGATGAAGAGGAGGAAGAGAGTGCACAGAGGACAGAGAGTTACATACACACCATGTAAAACTGCAGGCGGTAATGTGTCTTCACTAAACTCAGCACAAACATGCAGAACCCTGTGAAGAGCAGACAACATGCTGCATCAGTACACACATCAGTACACACATCAGTACACACATCAGTACACACATCGGTACACACATCAGTACACACATCGGTACACACACAGTCTCATTAGTTTGACTATCAAATCACATGGACTTTACAAGGACAAAAGGATGGGACTATTTCACGAGACAAAAAGAGGAAAATGATTTACATTTGAATGGTCAAAAATGGTTAAGTGCTGATGAGTTACACCTCGTGAGAAGCTGTGCTTCCAAAACGCACTGCTACTATGACAAAAGGACTGCCTGGGATCCAGAATACACACTTCTCCAATACTTTACTAAGTAAAGTATTGTGTCTGGTCACCTCTGAATCTTCCCCAATTCAGATGGGGGTGACTGACAGGTGGATTAGCCAATCAGAGACACACATAATGCACCTGTATCAGAACAAATATGGCTGCTTATGAGTTAAAAAGAAAGTTAAAAAGTATCACAGGAGACTGATAAACATGGCAGATTTGTGTTGAATTTATGAGTGTAACACTAAAACTCTGCTAATCTGAGGGAAGAGAAATGTCTTTAGTTTGACAGAAGACCAGTGAGCTCCTTTGTTTCACATGCGTCACTGAAATAAACACATGGGATTGGACGATCATGTTTAGCTCTGGCCCAAGGCACAACTGAGGATGAGGATGATGTCAAAATCCAGTCTTGTCTCGTCTTGTGGAAATGGTGTCTCGTCCCACAAGCACACAAATATTAGACAACAATACCTGACTATACCTGACTATAAAGTTAGATTTAATAAAGTTATACTTTATTAACTTTATTAAAGATTAAAAAAAAAACTTAAAATTCCCAAAATATAGACAAATAATATGATTTGATGATGTCATAATTACAGTGTTGTGGTGGGACTTAAGTGTAAATGAAAGTGGAGAAATAAAGGGTGGCTTTAGTGTGTAGAGCAGTGTGGATGGAAATAAGAGCTCGTCTACCTTTGGGCTTTTCAGAAGAATTACAACAAATGGAAACTCCAAACACTGAGCCTGATCATTACAGTAGGAACCAATATTTAGTGCCAATAATAGTTTGGATAAGGTTTGGTCAAACTGCTCCACAGACTACAGGAATGAAAAAATAACTAAAGCAAATAAACAAGTATAAAAGTGCAGTGAGATTTGTAAGAACATTTAATATTACTATCTACTACTAGTACTACTTATCTGACACACAGCAACTTTTTCATGTTCAATAATAGCTTCAAATGATTGAAAATGTAAGAAAGTAGTTCACAACATACAGCTCAGAGGTGTGAAAAGTAGCCAAAAATGATACTCAAGTAAGAGTAATGATTGCCCCCACCTCTGATGTTACTATACTGATTACTTGTATCATAGACTGTATATAGCCGGTCAGCTATGTCCATTTATATACAGTCACTACACAGTGAGCAAGGGCACACTTCCAGCTCCATTGACAGAAATTCACTTTCTATTGAAAAAAACATCTCCCTTTTCTCTCTGTAACTGCTGCTGCCAGGCTGGTCATTTTGGTCTTAAAATGTTCTTATTAATCGCTCTACATGATACTGCCATTTTTATTTCTCTTTTTTGTCTCTAAATGTAGATAGGAACATTAATAACAGACAAATCAGTCTTTCCTCAAGGTTACTCCCACTATTGTTACCAACAGGTGTGACTGACTCCCTGCTAAACCAGTGCTGCAACAGCCTTGTTCTGGATTGGCTCTTTGGTTGCTATGAAACTTGTGGTCGGAATTCCAAATATAATACAGCCTCGATGAGCCACATTTAACATCCCTTAGTCCACTTCTTTATACAGTCTGTGGATTGTATCTATTATGAGAAGTTCATAATTAAACCCTCTTCAGCTCAAATCTCAATGTAAAAAAGAAAAATAGCCAACATTTCTCATTAGTACAAAGAAAAAGTGCCTACAATAAAAACTGACACCCAAAATAATTGTCTGTACATGTGTCATGTACTGAATGATCATGACAGGTCTAGGTGTGGAGGGTGGTGACTGTACTCTCTGGTAGACCTTTGGCAGGGTCTCACCTGCCAGGTACAGGGCGAAGGATATGAAGCGGTGGTATCGCGACAGGAACGTCAGAGGCTCCTCCCTCTGCACCAGGGCCCCAAAGTAGTCAGCCAGAGTCTCCCCGTAGAAGAAATAGTTCACACAGATAAGGAAGTACCTGAGGAGAGACAGAGCCTCAAGTCCACTGAATCCAAAGTCTGCACACACACACACACACACACACACACACACACACACACACATACACACACACATACACACACCAGGTCTCTGCATCATGAGCCACACACACACACACCCACACACCACACACCCACACACACACACACACACACACACACACACACACACACACACACATACACACACACACCAGGTCTCTGCATCATGTGCTGGGTCTCTGAACAGGACTCAGATGGGCTCCACATGTGCGATAGATAAACAGAGATAACAATGTGCTAACATCGCTGCTCAAAGATATGATGTGCTCTGTGTGGACTATAGTGTTGCCACAATTAGGGATGGGCCCTAATTTTTATTAGAGATATATTTTTAAACTGAAGTTGTACTAGCTGCACTATCTAACTTTTATGATGTATGGCTCGGCGTGAAATATTCCACTGTATGGCATTAAACTTCACATCTGTAATTGAATAAATACAAGGTAGTGTTGTCGTGATACTAAAATTTCAAACTCGATTTTGAGACTAACGAAGGACTCGATACTCTCTGATACCACAATAATAATAAAAAACATTCTTTCTCTAAACAATAATATATATTTTCAGCATTAAATGGTAGTACTTCCCATGTGTCTTGTATCTGTGTGATTGTCAGTGGTGCAGTAGGTTCATGTTGGTCCATGTGTAAACTAGTCTATGTGTCTTCTATTTGTTCTGATACAACTCAGCATCATTCTAAACACATTCAGGAAAGGTTCAATTCTGTCCTTTGAATTGGAATTTTTTCAATACCTGCTCAAATGAGTATAGTTTCAATAGTAGTTTTAGTATTGATTATTAGTACCTGATTTTCAATACTTTTGACAAGTCTAATACAAGATAGATACGTTTAATGTCATACTGTGGAAAATGTCATGCAGAGCAATAACACCTCCATGAAGACAAGCAAGTCTACCACAACAAATCCACAGTGCACTTTAAAAGTCCTTGATTATGCTAAGATGACTCATGTGAGCTTCAGCACATGTTAGAATGTTGCTACCTCTTCAAAAAAACAACAACAACAACAACAACAACAACAAAAACACAGACAGTTGTGTTTTGTTTCATTCACACATGTTTGATTAACCCTGCATTATCACTCTGTTCCACCTTGTGATGTCATGTAGTGGTACTTTTCAAGTTAATAGCTCCTTTTATCTTTAGTTCAGTATAGAATAGTATTGAAATCATCCAAATGATTCTGAGTTTAAAAACACAGTGGAGCACACCTGTATTACAACATGACATCACAAGGTGGAACAGAGTGTTTTCAGTTTGAGAGAAGAACTCAACCTAAATGTGCAGGTTTGTGTGTTAAACATGTGAAAGAAACAAAACACAAGTCCAGGTGATGTGGACCCTATGCAGTTGTGACTCTGTGTGTGTGTGTCTGTATGTGTTGGGGTGTGTGTGTGTGTATGTATGCATGTGTGTGTCTGTATGCACGTGTGTTTGTGTGTGAGGGTGTGTGTGTATGTGTGCGTGTGTCTGTATGCATTTGTATATGTAGCTCTATGTGTGTGTATGTGTGTGTGTATGCATGTGTATGTGTGTATGCATGTGTGTGTCTGAATGCGTTTGTGTGTGTGTGTGTGTGTGCCTGGCTCATGAAACAGAGACCTGGTGTGTGTGTGTGTGTGTGTGTGTATGTATGCATGTGTTTGTCTGTATGCGTGTGTGTGGGTGTGTGTATCTATGTGTGTGTATGCATGTGTGTATCTATGTGTGTGTATGCATGTGTGTATCTATGTGTGTCTATGCATGTGTGTATCTATGTGTGTGTATGCATGTGTGTATCTATGTGTGTCTATGCATGTGTGTATCTATGTGTGTCTATGCATGTGTGTATGTGTGTATGCATGTATGTGTTTGTATGCGTGTGTGTGTATGTGTGTGTGTGTGTGTGTGTGTATGTATGCGTGTGTCTGTATACGTGCGCGCGCGTGTGTGTGTGTTGGTGTGTGTGTGTGTATGTGTGTGCCTGGCTCATGAGACAGAGGCCTGTTGTGTGTGTGTGTATGTATGCGTGTGTGTCTGTGTGCGTGTGTGTGTCTCTATGCGTTTGTGTATGTGTAACTGTGTGTGTGTGTGCGCGCGGGTGTGCATTTGTTTGTGTGTGAGGGTGTGTGTGTGCGTGACTGTGTCTGTATGTATTTGTATATGTACCTCTATGTGTGTGTCTGTATGCGTGTGCGTGTGTGTATGCATGTATGTGTTTGTATGCATGTGTGTATACGTGTGTGTGTGCCTGGATCATGATGCAGAGACCTGGTGTGTGTGTGTGTGTGCGCGCGTGCATGTGTGTGTAATGCCTTGGCCATACCAGCTGAGCGTGCGAAACCAGGGCAGGTCGTATGAGCGGTACACTCTGTATCCAATCGTGATGATCTCTTGGAAGCATTTGATCTGGACAGTCATGACCTGAGGAAGAGGAGGAGGAGGTTAGAGAGAAGGACGTGTGGAGACAGAGCTGAGAGGGGGAGACAGAGAGGGAGGTAGACAGGGGGGGCGAGAGGAGGTGAGAGGGGTTGAGGGGCAGAGATGAAGACAGCAGACCAGCCACCTTCTAAAATTCCTTCTCGTCACACATGGCAGCTGTTATTCTGTTTTTGCATCATCCATGAGCAGAAGTGAAGAAGCCACTTTGAGGAGCGACAAAACGTTTTCACTCCACTTTTGTGCAATTGACAGAATAGAAATTTGGTTTGCTACTATCCATTACATGTCCATATCCAAATAAAGGACAAAACTTTACAAAGATGAGTGGGTCTGGAACTATATCCTGTCTGCATGATTTCACAGAGGGTGATTGACAGATGGATGAACCAAACAGAGAGACGCATGGGCCATTCATCTCAAAGCAATCAAGGCGGTTTACTAGTAAAAAAAAAAAAAAAAGGAGGGACAAAATAAGACGGAGGACTGAGAAACAGATCATTCCTGCAGAATCAACAGAAGCACAAACTCTTGTATATCTCAGGTAATAGAAGTTCTAGATTTTGTTCTGAATGTTATAAAAATTTTGTCTCTGCGTATGAAAGACACACGTGATACAAATGAGTGGCCATGGTTGGATCGGTTGGATCGAAGAAGGAGACGGGGAGACGTAAAGACACGGGGACACATGTGAGGACAGGGGGACACATGTGAGGACAGGGGGACACATGTGAGGACAGGGGGACACGTGAGGACAGGGGGAGACAGGGGCAAACCAAACGTACCACCAGAATCAGAGTGATGGGGCCCAGGTAGATGATGAGGAAGAAGCCCCCAATCATGGCTATGGACAGCACTCCTCGGATCCAGTAATTCTTCCATCTGAAACAAAGGTGAGTCGTCAGCACTCCTGCCACACGGGCCCAGGTTTAAGTTGAATGTACAGGACTCCATCTGACCCTCAGTGGAACTCTCCTGTCAGAGACTCCACACAAACCTCATATAGTGTCAAGAATGCACACACAAGACTGTAGCACTTCACAGACACCTTTTACTTTGACATTTTGTGTATAATATAAAGGCATTATCTTCTGATCTCAAGTTGTGCTTTATTTCAATCACATGTTTAACACACACACCCTGCATGTAAGCTGAGTTCTCTCAAACAGAAAACATTTACTGATCTCTACTACATGACATCACAAGATGGAACAGATCATTTGGAGATGTAGACAGACTAATAATAAAGAGTTACTCAAACATGTGTGAATGAAACAAAACACAGCTCCAGGTCTGTTTTTGAGAAGGCAACAACATTCTAACATGGCTTAAAGCTTTAGAGTCAATTTTGGTGATAGAGGACATTTAAAAGACTGTATGTAAGATTTTGATTTCAAATTCCACAAACCTGTTCTCACTATGTCCCCAGATGTGAGGTTAGACATGTTCAAGTCAAATATAGATTTGACTGATAAACATTGTTTCTCACTTGTGTGGAGCTCTTTGGGCTACAGCAGTACTGGTGGACAGTGCTGCCCCCTGTATGTGGGTAACAGCAGTGATCATTCAAATCAGGTCTTACCACAGTGAAAAACCTAAGCTCACCTTAACCAGTCTAGTCACATCATTACACATAACACGTTTTTCAACTGACTGAGGAGCTCATCTTAGGCGTTTCTGTACCCGTGAGGCTTGACTCATTCATTGGAAGAGTAAAAAAAAGGAAACATGAATTGGTATCTCCAGTGTTTGATCCATGGTCATGACAGACTCCTCCCTGCACAGCCTCCAGCAGCAGATTATGTGTGAGGCTTAAACCCCGTGAGCTGCCACATGCTCATTGGTCCTGAACCTGTGGACACACACTCCAGCCTGAGCCCTGAGTCTGCACACTGGACACACACACAGCACGCAAACACACACAGAGTGCGCGCGTGCGTGTGTGTGTATTTTGGACTGTGCAATGATGGGAAGTGTGCAATGAATGGAGTGTGATTAATGGAAATTGTGTAATGAGTGGAGTGTGCAATACTGGCAACTGTGCAATAATGGGAACTGGGCATTGAATGGAGTGTATATTTTTATTGTTTGGCCCCCTGTGACCCCAGCCCCTTGGGACAACGGATGGAAATTGGCTACAATCCTGTGTGTTTATGTTTATGTTGTGTCATGTTTATTCATTAACATGCTCTGTCCCAATCCAATAAATAAATAAATAAATAATTAAATAAATAAATAAAGTGATGTGTGTGTGTGTGCATGTGTATGCATGTCTGTGTGAGTGGTGTGTGTGTCTGAGAGTGGTGTGTTCATGTGTGTGTAGGTGTGTGTGACAGGGGTGTGTACGTGTGTGTGTATGTGTGTAGGTGTGTGTGTAGGTGTATGTGTGAGTGTGACCGTAGTGTGTGTGTGTGTATGTGTGTGGGTGTATGTGTGTGTGCGTGCGTGTGTGTGTGTGTGCGTGTCTGTGTGTGTGAGTGTGTACCTGGGGGGCAGGCCTTCCAGAGCCTTGTTGAAACATTCAGGAGTGTTGTCTGTGTCTGCGCTGGACGGGGGGACGTCTGGAGTGTCCGCTTTGTCCCCCTCACACTCCGCCTCTGTGTCCACGCCCTCCGCCTCCTGCTCACACACACACACACATACACACAAACACACACACACACTCTCATTGACCTTCTGAAGTTATATTTGGAGTGATTTGTGCCTGTTGTGCATGAGTATGTTCATGTTAAAATTGTGCTCTGTCCCTGTCTCATTAAATAAATGAATAAATAAATAAGTAAATAAATGTAACTTCTTCAAGATTTTTGATGATCAACTCCCGTCTTCACCGCCAACTGTACACGCCCACTGCTCTCTACTTACTTCCTTCTCTAATTTTATTTTCTTAACAGGTGATACATGTAGGATTAGGCAGCGTTGCGTAGTCATTTTGGTACAAATGAAAAAATGAAATGTTCTGCTCTAATGTGATGTGCAGCTCTCCAGGAGGGGCCCACAGCTGTGGCACTTTGTTGTGATGATGTTTATGTCAACGTCAGCTCCCATTGGGCACCACAGTTTTCTAATGCAGAAGTCAGTAGACTTGTTTCTTTTAATACGATGTTTTAGGTGAATACTGTGAATACTGCGATTTAAAATATGCAAATTATAACATAATGATTCACAGAGTCATAGATTATGTGCTGTAGGTTGGGTAAATAGTGGCTCAGTGGTTAGAGCAGTGGTCCCCCAACCTGAAGATCAGAGGACTGATTCCCACTCAAAGCAAGTTCTGTTGCTGTGTCCTTAGGCATGACACTTGACTTTCAAGTTTTGAAGTGGTACAATAGTAGCTTACCATTGGGCAGTAAGGTTTGAAAGAGTAATGAGACAGTGCAGTGCTGTGACATCCTTCTAAAGGCTGTAAAGCACAGTACAAGAGTAAGGCTTTATTATTATGACACAGGCACAATGTCGTCTCTAACCATCACTACATGTTTAACCTCAACCTAAACCTTCATCCATTCTAACCCAAGTCTGAACTTTAAACCATGCTGTTGACCTTGTAATGAAGAACTGACATCATGGACTTGATTTCTGTCCTCATAAGGGAGGCAGGTCAGTATTCTGTGAGTGTGTGTACAGATTTCAATCCCCACACTGTGATAAATAAAAAAAACCAGACACACACAATAGAGACATGCAAAGCACAGGGAAATGTGCACAAGCACTGGACTGGAGCACACACACACGCACACACACACACACGCACACACACACGCACACGCACACACACACGAGGGACTAGAGCTTTCATCATACTCACATTTAAAATGTAATTGTGATACTAAGGACTCAATAGTCAATACCAATTCTGATACTATAATCATAACAATCTTTAGATAATAGAATTTCAACAGTAAATGGTAGGACTTTCTTTTCTATTCCATGTGTGTTCTATGTGTGTGATCATCAGTGGTGCAGTAGGTTCATGTTGGTCTGTGTGTGTACTAGTCTTTGTGCTCTGACACTTGTTCTGATACAACTCAACATCAACTCAAGACATTCAAGAAAGATTTATTTCTGTCCTGTCAATGAGACTTTTAAGTATCAATACCTGCTCAAATGAGTATCTAATTTCGATACTAGTTTAAGAATTGATTAGTATCGGATTTTCAGTACAACCAATAACAACCCTATGAGGGACACATGAGGGACATAAGAGACAGAGACATGAGACACATGAGAGTCATAGGGCTGTCAGACAGTGGGAGGCTGCAGCAGTGGCTCGAGTTCTACTCAGAGTTTAATGAGCACAGAGCACAGAGCTCTGTCTGCACCGCTGCAGGGACACTGAACAGGACAGGACCACACCAACCACTTAAACACTGGACTGTCCCGCTGTAGTTTACACCTCCTCTTCTGAAACGTATCAGCCTGTTTGATTAGTTGAACAGTTCATATTTCTGTCTTAATCCTAATGCTCGGTGTGTTTAACTGTACACTGATAATCCCGATAATATCAAAATAAACTCCTGTCTGAACTGGTAGGGCTCTATACTCTGACTGACACCAACTCTGATTAGCAGAGTGCCAGCTAGCCTGCGCCTTATCACAGAGGAACTTTAAGTAAGTATGTTTTTATTTATACAGACATATGTCACTTTACAAAGACGAGTGGATCATATCTATTCATGTCAGTGCCATTATTTATCTCAGGTCAAAGAAGTGATAGATTTATTGATATATTTATAAGAGATTTGTGGCCAAACCTCCTGATCTCGTTGGATCTCAGGAGCTCAGCAGGGCTGGGCCTGGTTAGACTTGGATGGGAGACATTGGGAAAATCAGGTGCCACAGTGGAGGTCTTTGTGTCCTTAGTCAAGACACTTGACCCACATTGCCTCATATGTAAGTGGTGTGGGTGTTGGTGGTGCAGGGGCTGATGGTGCAGCTTGCATCCCTCAGTCTGCCCCAAAGCAGCTGTGGCTACAATAATAATGTATACAATTAATGAATAATGCACTAAATTGTAAAGTGACTTTGAGCATCTGGAAAAGCACTATATAAGACTAATGCATTATTATTATTATTATTATTATTATTATTATTATTATTATTATTATTATTATTAGATAAACAGAGTTATGCAAGACTTTTGGAGAGGAGATGTCTTCTACATTTCAGAGACATGTGAACCAAATGAGCAGCTGTGGTTGGCCCTCCCAAGTCAGGACAGAGGTTTCCAGGACAGTCTACCTCCTGGAACCAGCTGTCCCTGTGTTTATAGTGACTGTCTCCCAAAGTGTCACGTCGTCACAACACTCGGCTATTGAGCCAGGGTCACAGAGTGAGCAGGTGGAATGTGTTACCTCATACAATATATACAAGTGCATCATTAAGGAACTGTATGGAGCCCACACTGTTTAAACAAGTACTACAACCACAACATGTCTCCAGAGCTTTAACCTGCACATAAAAGACAGAGGACACATACATACATTTGTGTCATTCCCAGTAAATGTTCAGGCCTCGTGTGAAAGATCAGAACCTCCAGAATTCCCTCTCTGAGCTGCAGAGGCTGCACTAGCACTGACTTATGACTGGAGAAGGTGCTGTGGTTTAGTGACTATTCAGATCAGAGAGACGTTTTAGGTTTAAACCAACTGGATTTCACCACTGAAACTAGCAACACAAATGAGAGAGTCATGAGGCTCATTCTGCTTTCTGATTGGATAATCATTTTGAGAACCAAAAAAAAACAAATTCTTTCAAAAATGGGCCATCATGTCCAATGTTTCTGTTATTAGGAATATATCATCTTTACCATAGTTCTCAGTAAAAGCTGTATTTGATCTGAACATGTCTAAACCAGGAGAACACAGTTAAGTCATGTTTATGGAATTTAAAATCTTATATATAGTTCCTTTATACATCACTAATCCAAACTATTGCTCCAAATATAATAATATATGTATTATTTCTGTTCTCAGAGGTGGGTGACATTTCATGACATTTCCTTGAGTAACATTTTAAAGAAACTGTATTTTTGTATTGTACTTTTCCAGCTGAATATTTTTACCCTATTGAGTACTAGTTTTATTGAAGTAACAGTACTAGTAGTTGTAAAGTTTGTGTCTACAGGTGACAAAAGCTTTATGAACATTTGGGTTTCTTGCTGCGCTCCCTTGAAAATACCAGATTTTGTGAATTATTAAATGTTTTGTCCTTCTAATCACAGTAACTTCAAATTATAAATCTGATGTTACAGTTACTCTTTAAATTACTCTACGTGAGAAATACTTTTCTTAAATTCTTAACTCTTACTTGAGTGCAGTTTCTGACTACACTCGTGTGTGTTCTGAATAATGAGCTAGTTCCGTTGTACCAACCTTGAGCCTCACCCTAAAGATCAAATATGACAGAGCTCCACATAGAACATATATGAGCGTTACTATGGGATTAGAATCTGTACATTGACTTGGTTTATGATTCATATCTGTGTAATTACTGCGCCTTTCCATGAGGAACACACGAGCTCAAAGTGCACAGTCTTCTCTGTCAGCAAAAATAAACTAAGGTGTGTTTGAGGCAAGGTGAGTGTAGTACAGACTCACACCTGACTTTACTACGGCTCCAGTCACATTCTATTATTAGGACATGAATGCGTGTGCTCCAGGTGTGTCTGTGCTGGTTTACACTGCTGCACACGGCCTAGTATCAGGTATGTCTGCTATGTCAGTCATGTTGAAATAGGCCAACTCTTCCAGCCTATTCCAGCCGGCCAGTAAACAAACTGCTGTGTGTCCTCTGCAAACTCTAATGTAACACTGACTGATGTGTGACGCTCTCAAATGACTCAGTGACGCTCTGAAATGACTTCGTGAAGAGCAGGTAGAGCAGTGGGAGTCACATTAGACCAGAAGTGTCATGCCCTGCACACAAGACGGCGCGGCGCGGCACAACGCGGCGCGGACCGGGAGGACAAGTCCACCTGGTTCAGTTACATCACGGCCACCTCCAAACCTGTTCTCGGTGTGAGCAGCGCCCGGCCAAGTGTGTGTGAGTACTATTGTGAAGAGGAGCACACAAGAGGCCCGCGCCTGCGCTGTCACTGTGTAATGACACTGTTGTGTTCGGGGGACGCGTCCCGAGGACCTGCTACTGCTAATTAGCCGCAGACTGGAGCAGGCTAGTGTGGAGCTAACGCGGCGGCGCAGCCCTGACCTCCGCGAGCCGCGCATGAGCCGCGCATGAGCCGTGCCTGAGCCGTGCCCGAGGCGTGACAAGCCGCTGAAGTTCCGGCCAGTGTCCGGACAGGGACCGGGCCGGTTAGCGGTGTGGAGAACGCGGTGCTTGTGTCCGTACCTTGTCGCTGAGGTTGTCGGTGCTGTCCGGGACCGCTTCGCCCGCGCCTCGCTTCCGCAGCTCCGTCATCCCGCTCCGAGTCCGCTGTGTCCGCGCTGTCACATAAGCTTCATCCGAGGACACAGGGACAGGTGTAGAGGTGAGACACTCCGGTGTTCCGCTGTTGTTTGTTTCCCGGTGCCAGAGTCCCGGAGCTGTCACAAGTCTCGAAGTCCCGGAGCCCCGCACACTCCGCACACTCCGTGACCGCTGCGTGCGTTTGTTTATCCGCAGTGTCCGCTCCGCCGCGCTCCGCCCTCCGCCGCGCGTCATCACGGATCAGCGCGGGACACGTCCCATTTCTGAGCACCTCTCCTCCGACCTCACCCGCTCATCTCCTTTCTCCCTCAGACCTCACCTCCTCTCTTCCTCTTTCCCTCAGACCTCACCTCCTCGCTTCCTTTCTCCCTCAGACCTCCTCATCTCCTTTCTCGCTCAGACCTCACCCCCTCACCTCCTCTCTCCCTCAGACCTCACCTCCTCACTCCCTCAGACCTCACCTCCTCACTCCCTCAGACCTCACCTCCTCTCTCCCTCAGACCTCACCTCCTCTCTCCCTCAGACCTCACCTCCTCACTCCCTCAGACCTCACCTCCTCTCTCCCTCAGACCTCACCTCCTCTCTCCCTCAGAACTTAACTTAAACATCTGAAATTAGTGCATTAGCTCAAGTCCACTTGAACCATGATGCTTGTGGTCCATTAGCTGATACTGTAATACTGTGATACTGTGTGCTCGTGTACTGTAGTAGGCCCGTGTCAGACTCCACGTAAGAAATGAATGAAAACTTTTCCGGTCACATCCCCGAGGAGGCGTCATCATAAATGGGACGCGGCCCAACAGCAGAGCTTCTCGTGTTTTGCACCTGCACCAGCTCATCTGTCCCCTCACTGCTCATGGTTCAACACAAGCTGCACTCCCATTTTTAACAATATACCACGGTAAAAAGAACCACCACTTTGTTCTGATATAGTAATACACATTTACAATACTCAATAATTAAAGGTGCACTGTGTAACTTCAGTGGAGGGTCTGCCAATGTCACCTCTATGTGAATATTTAGGCTATTGCTTTGCCCGAATGGTCCACAGCAGCATACTTTTACTCCTACTCCTGAAGTTGCGGTTCCTCTTCCCATGGTGAGTGAGTCTACAAGCAGCAAAAGCTTTATGTGACAATATGAAATGATTTGAACATTTGTGTTTCTTGCAGCTCCATCTCATTTTTGTATCTGTCCTTTGAAAACACCAGATATTGTGCATTAATTAAGGGTTTTATGTGTGAAGAATCCCTCAGTCGTTCAGGTAGAATCCATGACGAGGAGAAAATTCAGTTTGTCTACTGGACAATGTGGTAATACAGGAAGTGCTCCACAGTGTTTCTCAACTCCATACACCTTCACTGAAGTCATTTCAGCCCTGGAATTGCCCATTTTTTATTGAAGACTAATAAAGCTCTGGGTATGTTTTAGAGCAGGCATGTCCAAACTACGGCCCGTGGGCCAAATGCGGCCCCCCAGACAAATTTTTCTTGGCCCTCAGGCTTCCAGGTGAATTGGCACAAATTACCTTACATCATGTAAAAATTATCTTCTTACTGCAAGTTTTTGGAAAATCTACCTTGATAAAGCAAATATTTAATATTTAGTGTGTGGTTTTAAGGATCTCAGCATGAGCCATCAGTGTTTATTCATGCTATTTGTGTTAAACTTGCACATATTTCAATTATTCAGTGTATTGAGCACCAGTCTACAGCCCTCGATCAGTCCTCTGCTTCATCTGTGTTTAGATAAGTGGCCCTTGATGAAAAAAGTTTGGACACCCCTGTTTTAGAGGGAACACATTATAACATGAATTAAAGCTCACGAGTCAGTTTTGTGGAATATAAAACCCTTAACGAGAAGAAAATTCAGTTTGTCAACTGGACAGAAGTTAGTTTGGTTGAAGATGTTTCACAGCTCATCCAAGCTGCTTCTTCAGTTCTGGTCAGACGCTGGTGGACACTTCCTTATATCTGTCTGCAGGGAGGAGCTAACTACTCTGAAACTACTCTGAAACTAACACACACACTTGTTTACAGTTTCTGTTAGTTAGTTATGTCTATTGACCTGTACAGGGTGTGGAGTCTAATTAGCAGAACAATTCATGGTCTAATAATTAGACCCCACACCCTTAACTAACACAAACTGTAAACAAGTAGGTGTGGTAGTTTCAGAGTAGATTCAGAGTAGTTAGTTAGCTCCCCCCTGCAGACAGATATAAGGAAGTGTCCACCAGCGTCTGACCAGAACTGAAGAAGCAGCTTGGATGAGCTGTGAAACATCTTCAACCAAACTAACTTCTGTCCAGTTGACAAACTGAATTTTCTTCTCGTTAAGGGTTTTATATTCCACAAAACTGACTCGTGAGCTTTAAGTCATGTTATAATGTGTTCCCTCTAAAACATCCCCAGAGCTTTATTAGTCTTCAATAAAAAGTAGGCAATTCCAGGGCTGAAATATTTCAGTGAAGGTGTATGGAGTTGAGAAACACTGTGGAGCACTTCCTGTATTACCACATTAAGTCACAAGGTGGAACACAATGATTTATGTTTGGGCCTAGGCCTAAATGTGCAGGGTTTGTGTGTTAAACATGTGGAAATGAAACAAAACACAATTGTAGGTGTGTTTGTGATGAGGAAACTTTAGTCGAACTTAGATCAGAAGCTCAAATTACATTAACTTTAAATTATAAATCAGATGTTTTGTCCCAACAATCACGCTAAGTTAGTCTTACCACCACATACTTGAGCAATGTAGTGTACTTGAGTAATATTTTGAGGTAACATTACTCTGACTCAGCATCGGAAGAACTGTCACAGCCGAGCAGGTTAAATGTTGGTAAACAGCTATTATTTATTGAAATGAAATTCAAATGCGTAGGTACCAGTTCTTTTGCATTGTCGGGTGGGAGTGATGCGACTGTGGGGGATGACCGTGGGAGCATACTGAACTCAACTATACAAGAAACGTCCAGGCTGCAGCACTGAGCCTGCCCCCTACAGGCGCGTTCAGAACATGCAACAAGTCAACCAACCTGCTGAAGTCTCGAATAAAACAAACAAAAATCTCCAAACGGATCCAGTTGCATAAATATCACTGTACAGCCCACTCAGCTCGTTTGTACAGGGGAAGGAGTGAAAGGTCAGAGCGGTGAACAGGTTAAACAGGAGCACACCTGGATCCTGGTGCAGACAATACATTTACAGACACAGCCTTCTGTTTGTAGGCCTATTTACAATGTGCTATTGACAAGATAAGAGGTGTACAAGTGAAGTGTGTTTTTTCAGTCCTGTGTCGACTCGGCCTGACACGGCACAGCTCTGGGGCTCTTTCACTTAAAAAAAAAACTAAACTGGGCTACTACTAGAGTCTTCACAGCAGAAATTGAGTTTATGACCCACACTTCTCCAGACTTGGTAAAGGTGCTATAGTACACAAAATTTACTCTTGTGAGTTTTAAGCCATGTTAGAATGTGGTTACCTCCTTTAAAAACATACCTGGAGATGTGTTGGGTTTTGTGTTCTGTCTACACTTCCAAATCCCAAAATGCCCTGTTCCACCTTGTGATGTCACGCACAGTACTGACAGTTTTCAAGTGAACCGCTACCTTTTTAATGGCAGATCGATAATTCCAGGGCTGAAAATTATTCAAATGATTCTAGTGAAGATGTGCGAGTTTAAAAACACAGCAGAGCACTTTCTGTATCAGCACATGACATCACAAGTTGGAACAAAGTGTTTTCTGTTTCAGATAAAAACATAGCCTAAACATGCAGTATTTGTGTTAAAAAGGTGTGAATGCAACAAAACACAAATCCAGGTATGTTTGATGAGGAAACTACATTAGAACAGAGATCAGACATAGTGTAGTATGGACCCTTTAAGTGGGTTTCATTCTGACTGATGTTGTCTTATAAAACATAACTATATAATAAGAGTATTCATTGCAGGGTCACTTTTGCCAGTAAAGAGCTTCTTTAAAAATCTGAAAATGGATATCACTGATCAGCCCCATGAACCAGCTGACTGCAGGAGCTGATCGTACCATCTCCAGGTTTAAAGGTCTGAGAGCCGGGGACTGTGACCTGTGAAACTCTGACATCACAACATTCTAAAAAGACAAAACATCTGTCAAATGCAGAGGATTTGATCTGCATCACTGGGTTTATCAACATGAAACAAAAACTGGCACAAAGTTTAGTGTCTTCTCTGACGACAAATTAATGAATGAACGAATGAATGAAACATTGATGTCACTTTAGTATTAAAGTGGTGGCATTATTCAAACACATAGATTTTTGAAAGGACCTTAAAGTGCATATGACAGGTTAGACTGATCGTTTCACTAAAACGTAATGATTGGCTTTATGCTTTTACTAAAAATATTGCTTAGTTTTTTTAAAATATTTTGTTACATTATGGTTGGACATGGGGAGCAGATGACATACGCAGAGGTAATTCCATAACGACCATACTGTAAATAAGGTCCAAAACTGGTCTGTAGTTATGATTTTAGATGTAACCATATAAAGAATCTCTGTATGATATTTTCGCGATATACATCTCACTGTACCTATTTATTGTAATACTCTGTGGAAGCTTACAAAATTGTGAATGTGACTTTTTCCTTTTAAAATGCCTTGACAAGCATTTGGTTCTGTCACAGTCCAAAGCATTCAGATTTAAAATGCTTAATAACAAAGTTGAAGTTATTCTCCATGTAGTCTGCACTGAAATGAAGCAAAGGATCATGGTCTATGCAGTTCTCTTTGTATTTCAGCGGTTGCTGCACCAAGAAAATGAATTTATGCAAAGAGACTTGTTATTCGATATATATTATGTACTGTGAGTTAGGGGTGTGCAAAAATATTGAAATGTCGATATATCGTATCGTTTAATGTAATGACACAGTATCGATAACGTGGGCTTCTGTATCGATATATCGCATAGTATTTTTGGTGTATTTTACTAAATTATTTTGTTACAGCGCTACAGTTTTGTTGTTTGTTTAGTGGAAGGAAACTCATTCACACAGCAAAAGGTTAGTTAAAATGAAAATTAAGAACATTTGACTTTATCTGCTATATTATCCGCTATAGAAAAATGTGACCATTTACCATCTGAGTCGACTCTACCAATGGAATAATTGTTTTTCTAAATTCAAGCGACATTCAATTTTATTTCTTATTTTAAGGGTTGTTGTTTTTCTATTTTTAAGTGTAGCAAGTTGTATTTTCATATTTTAAGAACAAAAATTCGTATTCCGCTGACAGATAATTTAACATTTTCACAGTTTTGAGGATTCAAATGTTTTTGTTTCATATTCACTTTGCACAAGAAGTGGTTTAACAAAGACTTTTGAACGGTATCGAAATATATCGTATCGAATTGTAAGTTCACTGTATCGAAATATGTATCGTATCGTGGCCTATGTATTGAGGTATGTATGGTATTGGCAACTTCTTAATGATACCCAGCCCTACTGTGAGTCTCTAGTTAAAATGAGACTGACAAAAATAAATGATACCACCTTTATTTTGTTAACATTAAACTCTTGCCTCTACTGTTGCTGTATTTTTGATCAAATTTTGAAGATGACGACATAGGTAGAGGGATTCTGTCATTTTTGTACTTTTCTTTTCAACTTTGTCCAACAAACTGCCACAGATCTGATGTAAAACTATGATACATATTGGCCACAGGTATAATCCACCAAATGAAAACCTGTCATGTGCATTTTAAGCCCCAGTATTAACAAATGTGTGGACCCATTCCCTTTTTTGACAGTGCATTACTCACTTACTTACTGCACCGGGCTCTGTAACTACGCTCCTATGTGGGACATGAAGGCTAGTCTATATTTAGTAGTAATAGTTGGATGTGTGGTTAGTCATTGGGTTGACAGCTAGAAAAAGCATGACTTGACACATTACGGCCAATACTATTTACACCAACTTCAACTGACACTGAACTGCAAATCTAGTCTGAGTACGCGCCCTTTACAAAGTCCTATACTGGCACAAAATTGATGATTAGTTTTCAGAGAGTTCATAGACATGCCTCAAAGTGTTCTGATCTCTGCGCATAAAGTGTGGAGTGCAAACATGTGAGATAATGCCACTAAACCTACAGCGGTGGGACGTCCCTTTTGTGAGAGCTGTAGAGGGCCCTGGAACCATCCACAGAGATCATACGTCTGCATGTGGTGGAAATGTGTCAACCAAATGCAAAAATCACATCATGGGAATTCATTAAAAAAAACAAAAATATATAAAAACAAAGTCGATGGGTATAAAAGGCAACGAAAAAGTGGAAGTGAGATGCTCGGACGCTGGCAACGTAGAAGGTTTGTGTCAAGTCTCTTCTCTCTGTGGGCATCCAGCTCAGTCACAGTCTCTCCTTTTCTCGTCACAGAAAAGTCAAACTATATACAATATGAACAAGTCCGTGGGGTCCCGGGGAGCCGAGGACCTGCCCTGACAGCGGTGATGGGGTCCGTGTGAGGTCAGTTTTGAGTGAGTTTGGGGTCAGTTTCGGCCTTCTTCGGCGCTCCGCTCGTGTTGTAGGTTGTAGTAACAGTTCTGGCACACTCGGACTGGAGAGGAGATCTTTAGCCGCTTGATTTCTGACTGGAAGCGGCTGCATCTGGAAACCACAAGAAAACAGGAAATGGGTTGAGAACACATTGTTGGAAGAGAGGGGAACACTCAGGAGTTAAATGTGATATTTTAAACTCCATAAACATGACCTATCCGTGTCCCGAGACACAAGGTTAACAGGTTCAAATCAAATATAGTGTTTACTGATAACAACTGTAATGCTGATTTATGCTGCGCTTTGTTTACAAGTCCCTTATCCAATCAGAAAGCAGAATGAGCTGAATGGTCACCACCTAAACCCCAGCACATGCACCAATCATGAATAAGTGCTAGTGCAGCCTCTGTAGGTCCGGGAAGGGCAGCTGAGGGAATTTTGGAGGTGAGCTTTCACATGAGGCCTGGTCTGTGCATATACTGAGAGTAAGACAAACTTGGATGTGTCTTTAAGGTTAAGGCTCTGGGGACACACCATCAGTTATGTGACTGTAGTAAAATCACTTGGAACTAAACACTAAATCCACTTTTTCACTACTAAATTCTGTATTTGTTGTTTTAAAAGCACCGTCTACAGTGCCCTGTTCCTAGACAATTTTAGTGCAAACAAGGACATTTTCAGCTTTCTGGTTTTGAACTGTGTTGTGCTGCCTTCAGTGGCCACTGTAGTTTCAGGTCAAATTTGATATGATGACACCCCCCAAGTCAGTAACTGTCAAAGTCTTTTTAAATGAGCATGGAAGTAGAGGTTCCAGTGTGAATGGATGGATTACTTCTGGCAGAAGAGCTGGCCACAGTTGCGGCAGTGGTGTCGGCGCTCGGTCAGAGAGAAGCGCACGGTGCAGCCAGAGCAGCTGTCCACGCCTTCGTCCTTTACCCAGTGGTCAGCAGCAGAACGCCCGGGCTGCTCACTCACTGACCAACTGAAGACTCGGCCACGTCCATCACCCACCAGCACCTTACTGTGGTCTCTGAAACAAGATGGAATATGAGAGAAGCCACAATGTGAGAGAAGAATTTATAAATGTCATTGTTTTACGCTGGGTGCTCTTCCTACTACACAATTCTATTACTGATGATAGTGGCACAGTCAAGAGTAGCTGTATGACTGTGGTCCCAGGAGAAGCAGGGGGTTTGGAGAGCTGACATAGATCTGCGGCAGAGGGACTCACTTGGAGATGGCCAGGGCAGTGATCTCAGCCGGGTGTCCATTGTCCTTGCGGTCAAAGGCTGTGTGCATGGTCAGTTTGCTCCTGAACACCAGTTGACGCTCCCATCTGTAACCTGGAACAACACACAGAGACAGTGCACAGCTCTGTGTCACTGATGGGCCTGTTAACACCCACACACACACACACACACACACACACACACACACACACACACACACACACACACACACACACACACACATCCACACACACACACATCCACACATACACACATCCACACACACCCACACACACATCCACCCACACACACACACATCCACACACACACCCACACATACATCCACACGCACACCCACACGCACATCCACACACACACACACACACACACCCACACATCCACACGCACATCCACACACACACCCACACGCACATCCACACACACCCACACATCCACCCACACATACATCCACACGCACATCCACACACACACACATCCACACGCACATCCACACACACACACATCCACACGCACATCCACACGCACATCCGCACACACATCCGCACGCACATCCGCACGCACACCCACACACATCCACACACACACACACACACCCACACTCACACGCACACCCACATTCACACACCCACACGCACATCCGCACGCACATCCGCACGCACACCCGCACACACATCCACACACACACACACACACACACACACACAACACACACACACCACACTCACACGCACACCCACATTCACACACATCCGCACGCACATCCGCACGCACATCCGCACGCACACCCGCACACACATCCACACACACATCCACACACACACCCACACACAACATCCACACACACACCCACACTCACACGCACACCCACATTCACACACCCACACGCACATCCACACACACACCCACACACACATCCACACGCACATCCACACACACATCCACACGCACCTGCCCGGAGTTGGTTGTAGGCGCGGGCCTCCACTGTGCTCCCTGGGCCTGGGCCGGCCTGGCTCACGGGGCAGTGGTGGCTTTTCAACTGGTTCTCAGAGTAGTTCACAAACACAAATCCGTCCTTCTCGTCGATACTCAGAGTGTCTGACCAGCGGTGAGAGTCGTCTGAGCCACTGTCCATGGACCATGAGGCTCCAGCACGCCCAGAGGGCCCTGTACACCAAACAATGAGCAGTGTCACTCATATTATGCTATGTAAGCTCAAATGCTCAATCCTTCAATTCTTTAGCTGAGTAAGTGTTCCTCACCTCGGGGCCGGTGCACAGCACTGCCCGGCTGACTGCCTCCTCCTGTGGAGGGGTTCCGGGGAGGTTTGGACTCTGGACAGGGCTCTTCTCCCTCAGACTCACTGCTGTCATCCTCTCCATTATGGCTCTCGCTGCCCTCTGTAACACACACACACGTTTCAAACAGTGTGTTCTCCACTAGTCTGTAGAGCCACAGGCCATACTCACCCATCTTCTCCTCGCTGAGGCAGTCTGGGACGTCTGGCTCCCCCTGCTCTGGGGCTGGTGTCTCTGGCACCTGCAGGAACTCCATCCTCCAGAACTAACACAGAGGCACAGTCAGACACTGCACAGCTTCACAGAGGTGTGTACAGAAGGGGAGAGGTGAGGAGGACCTCCCCTCACTACAGAGGTACACTTCCAGTCAAACGTTTCTACATTTTAGATACACATAGAAGACATCAAATACATGAAGCAAGATATGAAATTATGTAGCAAAGAAAAAAGTTAAATAACTCAATATGGTTTGCATTTAAATGCTCAAAGTATCCACCCTTTGCTTTGTCGGCAGCTGCAAATCTTTGTCCTTCTCTCAATGAGCTTCAGGATGAAGTCTCCAGAAATGTTTTTTACTTCACAGCTGTGCCGCATCACGGTCAAGAAATGCCAACCAAAACCAGTGCAAACCAGGGTTCAAAGCAAAGGGCAGGGTATTTTTAAATTTTTTTCATCTAAAAAAAAAGTTTGGAGTTATTACTTCTTGCTTATTTATTTTAGTTTTGTTTACTACATTCATACTTGTCATTCATAGCTTTGATGCCTTCAGTGAGTAATAAAGAAACGTTTGACAGATTGACAGACAGATAGATACGTTATTAACCCAAAGGAAATTTGTAAAGTAGTGTGTGTCTGTGTGTGTGTGTGTCTGTGTGTGTCTGTGTGTGTGTGTGTGTGTCTGTGTGTGTGTCTGTGTGTGTGTCTGTGTGTGTCTGTGTGTCTGTGTGTGTGTCTGTGTGTGTGTGTGTGTGAGTCTGTGTGTGTGTCTGTGTCTCTGTGTGTGTGTGTGTCTGTGTGTGTGTGTGTCTGTGTGTGTCTGTCTGTGTGTGTCTGTCTGTGTGTGTGTGTGTGTGTCTGTGTGTGTCTGTCTGTGTGTGTGTGTCTGTGTGTGTGTGTGTGTCTGTGTGTGTCTGTCTGTGTGTGTCTGTGTCTGTGTGTCTGTGTGTGTCTGTCTGTGTGTTGTCTGTGTGTGTGTGTGTGTGTGTGTCTGTGTGTGTGTGTGTCTGTGTGTGTGTCTGTGTGTGTGTCTGTGTGTCTGTGTGTGTGTGTGTGTCTGTGTGTGTGTGTCTGTGTGTGTGTGTGTGTCTGTCTGTGTGTGTCTGTGTGTGTGTGTCTGTGTCTGTGTGGTGTGTCTCTGTGGGTGTGTCTGTGTGTCTGTGTGTGTGTTTGTGTGTGTGTCGGGGTGTCTGTGTGTGTGTGTGTGTGTATGCCTACCCTGACCACTCCGTCAGAGTGTCCGGTCAGAATGACGTTCTGCGTGTCCCACTCGTACATCTCGGACACACAGCAGCACAGGATCTGCTGGCTGCGGCCGGTGAAGGTGTTGGCACTGGCGATGGGGCTGCCGTTAATGCTCCACATGTGGATGTATGTGCCCGCACACGATATGATGTCGCCCTGAGGAGGAGTGCCAATCACTTTGTAAATACATGGGAATGGACTGGACTTAAAAGTCCTATATTACACAGAAGGGATTATTTTTACATGGCACTTTAAGCCATGTGAATGTTGTTATCTCCTCAAAAACAGACCTGGAGTTGTGTTTTGTTTCATTCACACATGGCTGAGTCATTATTAGTCTGTCTGCATCTCAAAGATCAAAATGCTGTTCCACCTTGTGATATGATTAACTGGTAGTTTTCAAGTTAAGGGCTTCCTTTAACACTGAGTTCAGTAGTGACTGGTGATTCCAGGGCTGAAATTATCCAAATGATTCTTCCTGTATTACCACATGACATAACAAGGTGGTACAGAGTGTTTCCTGTTTGAGAGAAGAACTGAGCCTAAATATGCAGGGTGTGTGTTAAACATGTGTGAATGAAACAAAACAATTCTAGGTCTGATTGTGATGAGGAAACAACCTTACAACATAGATCAGAAAAAAGCGTAATATAGGCTATAATGTAATAAAGGCGTGTAAGATGGCAGACGCACGGTGAGCTCGTTGATGCACAGGGCGGAGATGGGTGCGCGGTGCCCTCTCAGCTGGGTGATGAACGACAGCTTGTTCAGGTCCCAGATGATGCAGGTTCGATCCCGAGAGCCGCTCACCACGATGTGATAGGCTGAGGAGGCCGTGAGGCAGGTGACCGCGTCCGTGTGTCCCAGTAAGGCCTGCACGAGACACACAGTTAGGGCTATGGATTTTTTTAGATAATATGCGATATTTGGCCTGCTGCTGCGACCGATAACAGATAGATTTGCAGATACCAATACTTATTTGGTATGAAAAACCTTAGTGAGCCCCACAAATGCATCCTAAGTTTAAGTAACACTCAAAAATGTACTTTTCACTTAATAATAATAATAATAATAATAATAATGATGATAATAATAATAATAATGATAAATGTATTTTACTGTGAGCTAAAATACAATGATGCATGTTTGTATCTTCTATGTTCATTTGGACTTCTGAGCCTGTTCAAAAACACATCCACACATGTCCACCAGAGGGCCCTCTCCTACGTTTATATGGCTGTGCACAGATGATGCTTGAGCCATATGACAGTAACAAGTGAATCATGATCTTATGCTGATGCGATTTGTGATTCAGAGCTTCTGTGTTTAATGCAGTTTTATGCTCAAACATAGCCCCGTTAACCCCGACAGACAGAAAACCTTCTGCTGTCCCATGTTCACCTGTTTGAGGCTCAGAGACTTGGCGCGATCCTTGGCGGTGCCCAGCTCCCACACACAGATGGCCGTGCTGGTGCCTCCGGTCAGCACCAGTTTGGGGTTTGGGCAGATGGCACACAGGACCTGCCCCCACTCAGACAGACTCTCGTACACCACCAACGCCTAGAGCAAACAGCAACGCAGTCAATGTGCATTCTGAAGACTTGTGTACAAACTTCAACTGAATAGAAGCTACACAAGCATATGACATTATGTAAGGCCCAATGGTCAGATTTCCATTGACAACAAATTATCTCCATTTGTCTTCCCTTATAACAACTAGTATTTAAGGCTATTAAGGTAACTGACCCTTTCTAGCAGGTGGAAAAGTCCCTAAGCTCCACTAAAAATGACCCATGAGAGCTCATTTTCAAAAATTCCGTTTGAAATTAAGGAAGTTAATAGTAGATGTTTTTATTATTTAAACTAACCAGAATATGCTGAAGTTTCCCTGGTAAAAACTTTATCCACATCTAACCACATGTGGAACCAAGGGTCCAAAGAAGACTCCAAAAAGATCACATTTGGTGTGTGACCATATTTGGAACTACACCATCCACATGAAAGTTCAGAAAAGTGTGAGATTGTTGTCAGAAATGGTCATTCTCTCAAATATTCAGGTTCAACAGTTAGTTTGTAAATATCTGCTTGGAGTAAATAGATCTTGGAGCTCAAAACTTAAAAAAAAAATTTGCGGCAACCAAATTTGGAATTTTGGGGGCCGACAGTAACCCCCTTAAATTAATATATGACAACAGATTTAGGGTCTAGGACCCAGAATCTACAATACAAATCTTCCGCTTTCTAGCTCTATTTTTATGAAGTTAAGGTAAATTAAGGCTTCTGAAAAAGTGAGCATGGCCCCAAAAGTTCAATGGACCATAACTCAGGAATGACTCAAGGGATTAAGCTAAATTTTTTTTTTTAGACAAATCTGAGATGGCTCATAGGGGAGGGCGGCAGATTTCATATGGACTGACCCTTTGCAGGAAAACTTCACATACGTTTAATGAGAGATCCTTTCAACATGGTCAAACCCTCAAATAATCAAGTTTTGTACAATATGAACCTGTTGAGATGTTGTTGAGGAAACATTGTAAGGAGTCTGACCTTGTCCGACTCGTAGTTGGTGAGGCGGCAGCTCAGGTCGGCGTAGCCCCAGGCAAAAGTTCTGCTCCATGATGGAGGAACCAGAGCTTTGTTTTGTTCCACAGCTAAGATGCCTTTGTCTGTGCACACAATCTGCCCCACCGGCTCCTTCAGCTCTGCACAGGCACACAGCAGAAGGTTTAGTTTAGTCTTTACTTAAAGGGGCAATGAACAGAGACATTAAGCTCATAAAAAACAGATCAGAGCTAAATGTAGTAAGCTCTGCTTTAAAAGGGGGTAAAGGACTCTGAGTGTGTGGATAACACTGGTGTTAAACATACCTTTGACAGGAGCCAGAGAAGGCCTGAGGTTGTCTAGCTGATGGAAGAAGATCTTGTCACTGTTGGAGCTTGGTGGAACACTGGCCACATCTCCATTGGTTTTACTACGTACGCGCTTAGGAGGGTGAGGCTTTTTGAAAAGCTGAAACACCAAAAACACACTGTTACATGCTCTTCCTCCCAGAGGAACCAAGCAGACCTTCTCAGATGAGTTCTGACCTGTTTGGGGATCTGTCCAAAGTTGTTAATGAAGCCGATGGTGGCGGTCTCCTTCAGTGGGTCGTTGATGTTGTAGATGTCAACCTGACCCTCGTAGAAGAGGTGGTGGAACACATTCACCGCCTCCACAGCTGGAGGACCCTGCTGCTTGTACCCGAAGATAAGGTCGATCCACTCGTGAAGGTGACTGGACACATAGTCACACTCCAGAGCCTGGAGACACAGGGACAGAGGACATGTTAGAGTGTGTAGAGTGTGTAGAGTGAGCAGACTGAGTATCGTGGGTGTGCTCCCCCACCTCTCGGTGCACGCGGATAAACTCCCGCGGGTCGCCCTTTGCCCAGGGCGGCAGCAGCACGTCCCCCAGCTTGGTGCCGTTCTGCTTGGTTCCTGTGAGGAGCAGAGCGCAGGTGAGAGGAGCTACTATAACAGGCCAAGTAATAGAATACAGAGAGAGATACTGACCCAGGTCAAAGTTGTTAGAGTTGAGCAGGAACTCAGGAAGGTAGAAGAACTCTGGGATGAGCTCTTTGACATCGGCCATGTTGTGTTTGGAAGCAGACATCCAGGCCTCACGGATGCTGTGAAACATCCTGTCAGCAAGGTCAAAATGGCCGCCCTGTGGTTGGACAAGGACACAACCAATGAGGAAGCTGACGAAGAGGGATCATGTGTGTGTTGGTGAGGGGTGTTTAAGTGAGACTAGACACCCAAACTCAGCCCACAAGCACATTTCAAATAGAGTCAGGGCAGCCCTGTGTGATGTAATGTACTTCTTGAAGTTGCAGTGGCCACTGAAGTTTTAAACCAAAAAGTAATAAAATGAACAAATGCAAGAAAATGTCAAAGAAGGACTTGGAACAGTACACAAAGCTATTAGAACACTATATACATACTTTAGAAGCAATAAGGTTAATCTAATGTTCAGTTCCACTTTAATGAGGTGTGGACAGACCTGCAGCCGGAGGAAGATCTGAGTGAAGGGCTCCATGCGCACCAGGTATGAGGCCACGATCATGGCAGAGGAGTAGTGAGTGCCATAGTGATAGGCCGGGGTCTCACCTGCCACATACAACATAAGGGACATTAAGGAGGGTTATCATTAAGGTTGAATTACTACCACTCTTTTTCATACTGCTTAACAATCAGATCTGGACCCAGCTCAACAGCTCTTTGTTAGAAACTTAGAAATTGTATTGATAATCTGATCCGTGTCAGCTCAACTCCGGGCTCAGACTGCATGTGGTGCAGCTCTGCTCCGGTGGCTCTGAGTGTTTTGCATCATTAAAAATAGAAAGAGGAGCTCAGGGTGCAGACTGATGGTGATGGTGCTGATGGTTGTTTTGGTTTTGGTTTATTTTTGACAGATGTAGGAGTGACTGCAGCCTTTTCTCTTCATAAATAAATAGTTTTGGCACACACACGTGGTCTCTGTCCCTTCACAGCAGAGCTCTGGTCCTCATGAGAGTGTCACAGAAATAAGACCAATCCCACACTGAGCTGCAGCTGCATTGGGGGCAGTCTGAATCTGGTTTGACATGATTATGAGCAGTGGAGTTGGCGTGTGAAAACAAGCGTAGACTGGAGCAATGACGTCTTGAATACAAGAGAATAAAGACAACTCAAAAATCTAAATATTGTTTGCATTCACAACTGATACCAGACACTACATTTGCAAAGCATGTATTTGTGTTCTTGTTGTGTTTTCCTCACACACTATAGAGTTCTGATAGAGGTGGTGGGCTCTCACCGTTAGGGTCCTCCCAGTCCTTGTACCTCTTCTTGTACTGTGTGAGCCGATCATCTGTCTGTGCTCCCATGGGCTTCGACAGGTTACGGAACGTCTTGGGGTTGTTAAGGTCCAGCTCCTGAAAAATATCACATAAACAATCTATGAAAAAACATATTTAAAGAAAATAATGGTGAATACTGAGGAGGAAGTCCCCATATAAACTTTAAAGGGAAGAATTACACTGTGGGTTGTGATACTTAGGTAATCATGTTACCATTTATTGTTCTGAAAATGCTACATTTGCCAAAAGTGACATATATTAACAAGTTTAATGTGTTTCATTTCACCACTGCACCTTCATAGCACTACCACAATACAATCAGTGTGCAATCTGTGCATCACACTAATGAAACTACTGCACATCACATCAGGTTTGTCAAGTTCGTGTTTGCCTTTGTGTATTCATGGAAAATTGCCATGGGTGATGTAGGTTTGTGGGCTGTTTTGGACAGGGCCACTGCTGCTAGCTGTAAGTAGAGATGATCAAACAGGGCCCAGGAGAGATGGCAAGCCTCTTCATGCATATTTTTGATGAGGGAATAAGACACGAAGAGGGAATTACATAGTAAGCCAATTCTGTATAATAACCACTCTTCAAACACCGTTTTAGAACTAGCAGAACTTTAATCTAGAGTATGGATGAAGATTTAGCTGAGTGCCAGACAGGCCCCAGACAGAGCCCAGACCTGGGAGTCGTAGTCAGCCAGAATCCAGGGGAACACGGGGTACTGCATGAGGTCGTTGTAGGAGCGGCCCGCCAGTGTGTTCAGGTGCATCAGGTACTGGAAGTTACTTATCTCTCCTCGCTGGAAACACAAATCATTCTCATACAGTTTAGAAGTTCATATTTGTGTCTTCTCTGAAATGTAAATGCACCTGGGCATGTTTAAATTATGCACAGTTAAATTCAACTAACTGTACTCCACTGGCCTTTTAGAAAATACAATATTGATGATTAACCAGATGAACCTACCTCCCATCGCTGGGTGACAGACTTTTCTCCCACCAGAGTGCTGAGCAGCCCAGACCTGACGAGCAGACAGAGGTCAGAGGGGGCAGGAGCAGAGGAGCAGGTCAGAGGGGGCAGGAGCAGAGGAGCAGGTCAGAGGGGGCAGGAGCAGAGGAGCAGGTCAGAGGGGGCAGGAGCAGAGGAGCAGGTCAGAGGGGGCAGAGGGGGGCAGGAGGAGAGGAGCAGGTCAGAAGAACACACAAGAGGATTTTCTCTCTGTAGGTTCAGGGATGCACAGCTTGAGTATTGTTTCTTTAACACATATTTTGTCATGGTCTGTATCTGCATGGGGTCAGTGTAATTCTGTTACAACAATTTTTTGGGTTACAGCTCCAAAATGTAAATCTTACATGTCCAAGATATTAGATATGAACAGCCAGACGGTGCCAGGCACCTGTTGCCCAGTGATGGCTCATAAGACATGAAATAACACTAAAAGAACACTAGATGTGTAGAAAAGTGTGTTGCATAAGAATGTTTTATCTGTCCTCTATAAGCTTTGTGTTTGCGGTGGAACAGAAGGTGGAGGATTACCCCTGCTCCACGCTGGTGTTTGGCCTCTGTCCAGACACTGACTCAGAGCTGTCCACCAGGGAAGGCACCACCGCCAGGAACCTGCAGGAACCAACAGGAACCAACAGGGAGTCAACAACTATGGACTTCTGCAAACCTCAACCATATCTTACTCATACTCATCAAAATCAGGGGGACTCTAAAAATTACCATTGACATGACCAATATTCCCTCTAATGTTTTTCAGCACTGAGCAAAATGAAATGTGTCTGAGCTTTATGCCTCAGCAATACTATGAGCAGGCTCTACAGTATGCGACCATAATGGATAATAATTGATCATCATGTTCGTTACGTCAGAAATATGTATTTATTAATATCTATTAACTTGAGTTCGGCATTTGTGTTTAAAAAACAGGTTTACAAGTGGGATTGTGTTTACTACATTGAAATTTTAGCCATCTGGGCTAGAAAAGTACATAGCTGAAATTCAGCTGAACAGTAACATAAATCTGGAGCCCAGGCAAAGATAGAAGGAAATGACACACCTCTGAAACCGTGACACAACACTCAAATGTAACTGTGGCACAACATACAATACAGTTATTCAATGTTCTGTTCAATAGATAATACCTGTGAAGTGATGCATTTTTGACAGTCGAGTCATGTCTGTGAATTCGTATTCGTACTGAAGAAAGCGTAATCATAACTTTTCATTTGATGATTGTAATTCTTGATATTATAACTTTTCAATTTGTATTCTTGTGGATAAAATACATACAATATATTTTTATGTATGACTGGACTCATTCGGGAGTTTACAGATGTTTATTTTATGCTCAACTACAGCCAAATACACACAGATTTCCAAAATATGCATGGATTTCTATCCTATCCACACAAATATTTCTGAAAGCTTTCTTACTCCATACTAACCTTTTTCTTTGGATCATTCCTGCCTTTCTTTTAGCCATTGTTGCTGGTCATTGACTGATTTGCAGATTGAACAGAGCGCGAGATAAATGTTGCTTAGGCTACATGTAATAAGCAGCATTGTCTAAAACCAATGAAAACTGAGTATGAGACCATCTCAACAACCACGAGCTACAGTAATCACCGTAGCTATAGTAACGACGCAAAGTCTGTCTTGGAACTTTCTGTCCATGACAGCTATGCACTAAATGCAGATTGCCACTCGGACTGCTGACATTTTTTAGTTTATTATTACCATTGTTAATATCAGTCTAATAAAAAAAACAACAACAACAAACAAACTATGAGCAATTATTTAATGTGCGGTCTGAAAAATCATGTGCATGGCAGATCTGAGAGGCCTGCACAGCTGCTCAGGCCGCAGCTTAGAGGGAACACAGGACATGACTATGAACCAAACCTTCTTTGATGTAAATACACTAGAGATGAGGCGTGGTGACAGTACCTCTGATAGACTTTGTTGCGCACTCCTTTCTGGAAGGCCAGTAGATAGTTTCGACCATCGGCTGAGAAAACTTCCACAGCCATGGGCTGGAAGGAGAGAAGAGGAGACACCAGAGACAGGTTTATACACAGGGCATGGGTTTGAGTGATTATAGTTTTAAGTAGTATGGAACAGTGCCCACCTGCAGCAGGTAGCGTCTCTTGTGCACCTCCTTGATGTCTTCATAGGCGAAGATACTGCAGGTCCTCTTGAGCTGGCTCTGGCCCTGTCTGGCTCCTCTCGGGATGATGGGCTCGTGCAGACTGTCAACAACACACTGTGTTTAGGCACCGCACTATGGCACAGCTGAACTACAGGGCAAGGGGCACTGTGGGGTGTGTTATTACCGACTCAGGACAAAGAGAGGAAGGCTGAGGGCAGAGGGGACCAGGGTGAAGGCAGAGGGGACCAGGGTGAGGGCAGAGGGTGCAGAGTGAGGGCAAAGGGTGCAGAGGGTGCAGGGTGAGGGCAGAGGGTGCAGGGTCAGGGCCAAGGGTGCAGAGGGGGACAGGCTGAGGGCAGAGGGTGCAGAGGGTGCAAGGTGAGGGCAGAGGGGGCAGAGGGGGACAGGCTGAGGGCAGAGGGGGCAGAGGGGGACAGACTGAGGGCAGAGGGTGCACAGGGGGACAGGGTGAGGGCAGAGAGTGCAGGGTGAGGGCAGAGAGTGCAGGGTGAGGGCACAGGGTGCAGGGTGAGGGCAGAGCGTGCAGGATGAGGACAGAGGGGGCAGAGGGGGACTGGATGAGGGCAGAGGGGCTCGTACTTGGGGGGGAGTGTGTCGATGTCTCTGATCTCTCTGGACACAGTCATGGTGTATCCATCGATCACGTAGAAGTGCTCTTTCCCAAAGAGCAGCAGGCCCTCGCTGGTGTCCAGCCCCTGCACGCGGGCACAGCGGTACATGTGCTGAATCTGAAACACCACAACAGAGTATGCACCAAATGTCATCATCTGTCCCAACACGCCCCCTACTGGTCTGAATGACTGATGTTAATTGACTTCTGTGAATTTCTCAGTCGATTACAGCCCTAGAAGATGTTTCTTCTGTTGGCACTAGGGTCATGAGGAGCTGGCTTGTTGGCTAAGGAGACAGAGCGGAGTTTCTCCTGGTCCAACAACTGCCCACCCTGTAAGTAGCCTGCAGTGCCACAGTTGTGTTTGTGTTCATTAGCTTAAGATAAACAATCCACTTCTGCCACTCTTTGCTGTAACCCTGACTCTTGTGATGTCATGTTCATAACTCCACTGTTAGAGGACCACATGAACTTGGTGAACCTACCTTCTCCCCCTCCTCAAGCAGCCTCAGCAGGGCTGTGTTGTCTGGCTTCTGTTCATCTTCCAGACCTCCAGATTCCAGCAGCTGGTCCTGACTCTGCTCCAGGCTGTCCTCGTCAGCGCCATCTGCAGTGGAGCGGGAGCGCTTCAGAGGAGCCTTCACCAGACCTAAATCATCACAAGGAGGAGTCAAGAAATAAATACATTTATTAAAAAAATCACTGAAATAGAGCTGGCTAACTTCACTCCCTTCTACCTCAGTGCCTCTTCAGAGTTTACCTGCTCCTCAACCTCATTACTTCACTCTCAGTGCTCCTCCTCGCTGTTCTCCGCACCTCATCCTCGTCCAATCAGCGTCCAGTCTGCCCAATTGAAACCATCACTGCAGATGCAAGGTCGCTTCGGTTGTGCCGCGCCCCACCTCCTCCCCAGCACCCCCTCGGCTTCTCGTCATCCCCTTCACTCTCCTCAGCCTCACCTCTGCTACCTCCAGTGTCCAGACCCTCTCATCTTTGACCTGGGTGATGGGACCCTCTCACCTTTGACCCGGGCGATGGTGTCCTCTCCAGGCTCTGGCTCCTGCTGACTGGTCTCGCCCTCCGCGCTGGGCTCCACAGAGTGCTGGTACATGCCTGGGTTACCACTTAGTACACGCATGTAGTACTCCTTACTGTCGTAGCTGATAGCGCGGCGATACCTCAGAGGTTTCTACAAAAACAACAAGTATAAACATGACTTCCAAGTTTATTCAAGGAGGCATGTGAGGCCAGTGTGTGGGTATAACGGCCCAGGTAGAGCGCAGTGTTCTGGGTCAGATGTGAGGTAGTCTGGGTGTATGGGACTCTCAGATGTGTACAAGTTAATGCTGATTTATTCTCAATTACAAAAACATTAGACATGATGGACAAGTTGTTTATTATAATTTGGCGTTTTAATTTTGTTATAATTTTGGTGAGCAGAATGAGCCTCACATGAGTCTCTCATTTGTGTTGCCAGTTTCAATGGTGAAATCCAGTTGGTTTAAACCTAAAATGCCTCGCTCTGATCTGAACGGTCACTAAATCCCAGAACCTGCACCAGTCCTGAGTCAGTGCTGGTGCAGCCTCTGCAGCTCAAGGAGGAAATTTTGGAGGTTTTGAGATTTCACATGAGGTCTGTCCATTTACTGAGAATGAGACAAACTTGGATGTGTCTCTATCTGCAGGTTAAGGCTCTGGCAACACAGTCTGGTTTGTGCTGCTCTGGGTCAGATGTGAGATACTCTGCATGTGCTGCAGATGTGAGTTACTCTCACCTGTGTGGAGCTGCTGGTGCTGCTCTCTGCTTCACCCACATACGGGTAGTGGATGTAGAACATGTCGTTCCGCACCATCTTCTTCCTCATGCGGCAGGGACCCTCAGTCATCTCCAGCACAAACTTGTCCAGCTGGGAGCCGATAGGGGGACCCCAGAGGCCTCGTTCACGCAGCAGCTCGTACTCTTTAGATGCCCAGTCCTCCGTCACATACTTCAGAGTGTTCTGTTGCCGCTGGAAATAATCACAACAAATGTAACCACAATGGACAGCAAGTCCAAAAGTGCATATGCCGGGTTTTCATGTTTTTCAAATTCTGACAAATCCTAACTTCAAATGAAGTCCTTATAATCATATGTATAGTGAGGAGTTTTTTTTCCCTGTTCGGTTGAATGTTTGACATCAACCAGTCAGATGGAAATAAGCCACATTGGCTATAATCTTTACATATTTTGGTCAGTGACATGATGCCTAAATTTTCTGTTCAATTGCAATTTCTTCAGTTTAAAGGGTTTAAATTTCATAATAATCCACCACATATCTGTAGAACCTCTGACCTCCATGGAACCAAACCATTTTTTCAGAAATGATTAGTTATCATGCATGTTTTTTTTACTTAATGTCATGTGGCGCGACCGTCTGCCCTTAACTTAACTAAATCTAATCAAATGTATGTTCTTTGTTTTTGACATATTCTATATCTGAAGTGTTTTGTAGTCCCATTTGAAATTTCAGCTTTCTTGAATAGATATTTCCGCCATAATATACAAACAAATATTTCCTGAGAGTGTCCATTTTTTTTTTATATCTTGTGGGTGCGTCCATCAAGAAATGACTATTTCTTGACACTTTAAACATACAAAGGATTCATTATTGGCATAGACATGGATTCAAAGTAAGAAATCAATTCCAACCTCCTGGTGTTCCTTGTACTGCATGGCCACGAGGTCCCTCACCACTGCGATGTGTGTGAACATCCACTGGAAGGTCTCCTGACACACACACACACACACAGAAACACACACGAGCACATCAGGTCAAAGCACAGCAGGACTTAGCTCTTCTCCTCAGAACTTCACAAGATTTTTTTCTTTGTCAGAAGATGTTCTGATACCCTCACTCTCTCCTCGGGGTCACATTGACCCAAAGAAATTATTTTTTTTCCTTCCCGCTCTCTTGGGGTGGGTCAATCAGATCCAAAAAAATATTTTCAAATAAATTCTCGCCAGGCGAGAAAATAAATTCTTGGGGCTGATTGACCCGCCCCAAGAGAGCGGAAGGCAAAAAAAAATTCTTCGGGTCAATGTGACTCCGAGGAGAGTGTGAGGGTTTTAAATAGTGCTTGCGTGTGCTCTATAGTTAAAATCTATGTCACCTGTGGATCATTATGTTATGAATTTGCACATTTATGTTATGAATTTGCACATTTCAAATTGCAATATTCACCTAAAAGGACTTCATAAAAGAAACAAGTCTGCAGACTTCCGCATTAAAAACTGTGGTGCCTAGTGCGAGCTGATGTTGGCGTAATATAGCACCGTGCTGAATCCTACATGTATCACCAACTAAGAAAATACATTTGGAGAATGAAGTACAGAGCAGTGGGCGTGTACTGGTGTACTCAAACAAACATGAATGACTGTAAAAACAACTTCAGAAAGGAGGCAACTATAACATAGTTCAAAGCCCTGAAAAGTCCAATTTGCAGAATAGGCCTGCTTGAAGCTTTCATTTCTTTGGCTAATTTTCCTGTTAGAGAAAAAGTATCTGACCCGTGCTGGTGTTGGAGTGTTACCTGAGCGGACATGCTGTTCTTGTTCAGACTGTTCTCCTTCTTGTTTCGCCTCACTCCGGTCAGTTTGGATAGGCCGAAGCCGCTGCTAACCCGGGACAGCTTGGATTGAGTCACGGGCACCACCACCTCCCCACGGCTGATGCACTTCTTCTCATGGGCTGTGCCACAAAGTATTCCCCATTAATGTTGTGACTATAGTCCAATTTCAAAAATGATCAGACTTATATCACGCTTTTTTGGACATTCAAAGACGCTTTACAAACAAACGTAAAATGTGCTGAAGACATAATGTGGATAGAACCCCCCTCATATCCTGTCACACATGTGCTCTGTGGACCTACCAAGGTGGTTCTGCCAGCTCTTGAGTGCGGGCTCCTCCAGGGCGGGCCGGGCGGTCACGATGTCCACGTGTCCACGGTCGTTACAGGGCAGGGACACTTTGAAGATGTCCTCCAGCATCAGTCTCTTACTGTGCATGAGCTCGGTCCACACGCGGTTCACGGCCTTGAGGAGCAGCTGTCGGCCTGCAGGGGGAGCCCAGGAGCAGGGTTAGGGTTTATGTCCTTATCTGTGTGGCTCTGTGTGTGTGTAATAGTGTGTGCGTACATGTATATGTGTATACCCGAGTGTGTGTGTGTGCATGCGTATGTGTGCAAGTGTGTGTGCATGTATGTGTGCGTGTATGTGTGTGTGCATGTATGTGTGTGCATGTATGTCTGTGTGCATGTGTGTGCGCATAATGTGTGTGTGCATGTGTGTGTGTGTGCATGTGTGTGTGTGATGTTGTGGCAGTGTGATGAGTCTGACCCTCGCTGACGTCCTGGCTGGGGGAGCAGTCCGTCTCGCTCTCAGTGGACATGTTGACGTGCCAGGTGGTCATCCGCGCCTCTGCCTCCAGCCCAAACCCCTCCACACTGCTAAAGAACAAACACACACACACAGATGCTTACCATGCTCTTTGGAGACACTGACTTGACTCACATTAAGGTTAAGGTACACTTTATTGTCCAAGCAGGGACATTTGTCCTTTGCATTTGACCCGTCCTTCAGTACCACTGAGGCAGCTGAGAACATTCAAACTCTGCTCAGAAAGGCCCAGGCGAGCAGGGAGTTGAACCAGGAGCCTTCTTGCTGTAAGGCGTGACTGCTAAGCACTCCTAATAAAGGATTTAATAAAGGGCACTTGTCCCCATGATGTGAGTGTGTAGACACATTTTAGCCCCCATAATGTGACAAATACCTGCCCACACAACTTGGTCACACACAACTTGGTCACACACAACTTGGTCACACACAACTTGGTCACACACAACTTGGTTAACACTCAACATCAACATCTGGTCACTTCACTTCACAGCAGAGGTGAAGGAAAATAACTAATAATGATTACTGCTACACATTATTCTTTTAAAATAAAAGAGAGTCCTGAGTGTGGAAGAGAACAGTTTACATATTAACATGGAGTGATGAGGTCAAAGGTGTTTATCGAATGAGAACGCAGGCCCCGCCCACACGCCTCTTACCTCCCAGAGTGAAGGCAGATGAAGCAGTGAGCCAGGCAAGCCACAAACTCCTGGTCATGGTTGCCGGGGCCCAGGACCAGGTTGCGGTTGACTGTGAGGACCCTGAGTGCGTCGAGCAGCGCCACCTGCTGGGCTACGGTCTTGTGCGGGCGGCTCAGCTGGTAGAGCACAGTGCGGTTCAGACAGTGGTACACCGAATCCAGAGATAGGCCCTGGGAGCGACGCTTAGACTGCACAGAGAGAGTGGACAGATAAGAGGTGTCTGGCTCAAGGGCACTTGCATAAGCTACTATGGGTTGAGCTTTTGAGCTCAGTTAACATAAAAGAGGGAGAGAGGGAAACTGTCTCTCTGCGTTTGAGGCAGAACAGCACTAAAGGACACATCTGTAGAGCCTGAGCTCGGCTTGGTGACCAGTTAAAGTTGATTAACACCTAAAGGAGATGTAAATGGTTGGATCTAGTGGTAGAGTAAGTTTTCTGAACCTCTACGAACACCTTACTCATTATTTTCTGATATTTCACTTCTATGGGATATTAACTGCTAACACATAATATATATATATATATACTTTTAAAATATATTCCCCTACAGATTACAGATTACATATCCCAAAATGTAGTTTGTAACTTAATCCATTTAATTACTTAAAGTGAGTAACGTAATCTGAATACTTTGGATTACTTGATATTGTCATGCTTTTTAAAACTACATGAATGTAGCAACCACATCCTGCAAATGTTGTTCTTGTTTGTTCTCTTCAAATTGGCTGTTGAGCCCAAATCTCCATGAAAAAGAAACTGTTTGCTGTAAAGTAGCAAAGACGAGGAAATCTGAACATAATAACTATTGTCGACTTAAAGACAATAAAAAGTCCAGTCTTTCCTTAACCATATTAAAAATATTATTGATAGAGAAATGCTTTATATATGAGATCACTGGTTTTAGTCCTGATGTTAATCCTGGTTTAGACCTGCTTTAGTCCTACTTTAGTCCTAGTTTAGTCCTGGAATGGGTTAATCCCTAGTTTTAGTCCTGGTTTTAGTTCTGGTTTTAGTTCTGGTTTAGTCCTGGTTTAGTCCTGGACTGGATTAGTCCTGGTTTTAGTCTTGGTGTTAGTTCTGGTTTAGAGGCGCACAGGAGGAAGCGTGGTTTACGCAGCGTACGCGAGAAAACATACGTGGCTCACGGGAGGACAGCGATGTCCACGCAGTAACTACGGAAGGAAACGTGGTCCGTGCGTTCTCAGGTTAATGACGATGATGAAGGTGTGTGTTTGTGTGTGTTTGTGTATAGGACAGTAGTGCAGACATCATGAACCTATGCAGGTTGTTTTCACCAGTGACATTTAAGTTGTAGGCAATTTTATATTTGTTATTTTCTTTTATATTTCACGTCAGGAGAATAATTTCCAAGACACAAATGTGTTTTTACCTGTGCACTGGTGACTCTGTTCTACTGGCTCTTCCACCTCGTCCATTGTGCGACTGACGCCGCCAACGTGAACATGACGTTTACATCGCTCTTACTGTGCGCGTTTTGTGTGGGTTTCCGACAATGAGTGGAAATACCGAAAACATTTTTTTATAAATGTCTTTTTTGTGTGTGTGTTGTTTTCCCAACAACACATAAAAACAGATTTTATAATAAAGCAACTCGCATACAGAAACAGTAAAGTGATTAATGAGATTATTAAAAAACATAACGCGCTAAATATGACTGTAATTAATTAATCGCAATTAACGTGATAATTTGACACCCCTTATATATATATTAGTGCTGTCATGCGATTAAAAAAATTGAGAGATTAATTAATTACGATCTGAAATTAATTAATCTAATTAATCTCATTTTAATCTCACCTAAAAATTGCTGAGAAAAGTCTTCAATTTGAGGTATTTTTATTTAAATTCATTATTACATTATTGTGGCAGATCAAAAGACTGATATAGATTAAAAAAAGTGACTTTATAAAGTCATTTATTGTTTAACAAATCTCTACAAATTGGTTGTTGAGCCCAAGTCTCCATGAATAAGAAACTGTTTGCTGTAAAGTAGCAAAGACAAGGAAATCTGAACATAATAACTTTTGTCTACTTAAAGACAATAAAAAGTCCAATCTTTCCTTAATCATATTAAAAATATTATTGATAGAGAAATGCTTTATATATGAGATCACTGGTTTTAGTCCTGGTTTAGACCTGGTTTAGACCTGCTTTAGTCCTACTTTAGTCCTACTTTAGTCCTAGAATGGGTTAATCCCTAGTTTTACTCCTGGTGTTAGTCCTGGTTTAGTCCTGGTTTAGACCTGGTTTAGACCTGGTTTTAGTTCTGGTTTTAGTTCTGGTTTTAGTTCTGGTTTTAGTTCTGGTTTTAGTTCTGGTTTTAGTTCTGGTTTAGTCCTGGTTTAGTCCTGGTTTAGACCTGGTTTAGTTCTGGTTTTAGTTCTGGTTTTAGTCTTGGTGTTAGTTCTGGTTTAGAGGCGCACAGGAGGAAGTGCGGTTTACACAGCGTAAGCAAGAAAACACGATCCACACGCGGCTCACGGGAGCACGTCGGTGTCCACGCAGTGTCTACGGAAGGAAACGTGGTCCGCTCGTTCTCAGGTTAATGACGATGATGAAGGTGTGTGTTTGTGTGTTTGTGTGTGTGTCCCCTCATGTGGCAGGTCACTATAGGACAGTAGTGCAGACATCATGAGTCTATGCAGGTTGTTTTCACCAGTGACATTTAAGTTGTAGGCAATTTTATATTTGTTGTTTTCTTTTATATTTCACGTTGGGAGAATAATTTCCAAGACATGAATGCATTTTTACCTGTGCACTGCTGCCTCTGTTCTACTGGCTCTTCCACCTCGTCCATTGTGCGACTGACGCCGCCAATGTTAACATGACGTTTACATCGCTCTTACTGTGCACGTTTTGTGTGGGTTTCCGGCAATGAGTGGAATTACCGAAATAAAAAAATGTATAAATGTGTTTTGTGTGTGTTGTTGTCCCAACAACACATAAAAACAGGTTTTATAATAAAGCAACTCACATACAGAAACAATAAAGTTAGAGATTAAAAATGAGATTAACGCGATAATTTGACACCCCTAATATATATATATATACATATATATATGTATATATATGTATATATATGTGTATATATATATATATATATACATATATATACATATATATATATATAAGTTATAATTATATATTGAATTAGAAACCTTTAAAGAAGCAGAAGCACGTAGATCCCAGTTCTAATTTCAAATTTTGTTCACTGTAAACAGCAATACTGATTTAGAGCTGATAGACCCACCTCTTCATCCAGTAGGAAGCAGCTGATTTTCACTTTTTACTTTTTTATTGTGAAAAAACTTATATATAACTTTTATGAACTCAACATGTGTGACCTGGAGTCTGAATCTTTTGAACAATCACGAGTAAGCACAGACCAGTGGGTGGAGAAAGTGAAAACAGGGATTTTCAGAAGATTTTCAGAACCTCAAATGCACGACAACACAGGATTCCTCAAACATACATGAATCAATCAAAATAAAAGTTTGATAAAGATAATGATGGGTTTTTAATCATGTTATAAGAGTGTTCCCTCATAAAAGTCTTTACATAGTATTACTGTTGTGAAATGGCTCAGATTTAGATGCTCTGTCCAGAGCAGCAGAGGGCACCATACCTGTGCGATGAGCTGCACGATAAAGTCCACCACCAGCTTGGAGTCCTTGTTGAACATGCCCTGCCACAGCTTGTCCACCACGCGCTGGCTGAAGTAGAACACATTGTTCACCAGAGTCTGGTAGTTTCCACCAGTGCTCAGAGGTAAAGAGGCATCTTCACCTGCGCAGAGAAACAGAGAGAGAGAGAGAGAGAGAGAGAGAGAGAGAGAGGAGAGGGAGAGAGGGAGAGGAGGGAGGGAGGGAGGGAGGGAGAGAGGGAGAGAGGGAGGAAGGGAGGAAGGGAGGGAGGGAGGGAGGGAGGAAGGGAGGGAGGGAGGAGGGAGGGAGGAGAGGGAGGGAGGGAGGGAGGGAGGGAGAGAGAGGGAGGGAGGAAGGGAGGGAGAGAGGGAGGGAGTGAGGGAGAGAGAGAGAGAGGGAGGGAGAGAGGGAGGGAGGAAGGGAGGGAGAGAGGGAGGGAGATAGAGAGAGAGGGAGGGAGAGAGGAAGGGAGGAAGGGAGGGAGGAGGGGGCAGGAGAGGGAGGGAGGGAGGGAGAGAGAGAGAGGGAGGAGAGGAGAGAGAGAGGGAGAGAGGGAGGGAGAGAGAGGGAGGAGGGGAGAGAGGGAGAGAGGGAAGGAAGGAGAGAGGGAGAGAGGGGGGAGAGGGAGGGAGACAGCGAGAAAGGGAGGGAGAGAGGGACGGGGGAGAGAGGGGGAGAGGGAGGGAGGGAGAGATGGGGGAGAGGGAGAGAGGGAGGAGAGAGGGAGAGAGAGAGAGGGGGAGAGGGAGAGAGAGAGGGTGAGAGGGAGAGAGAGAGGGAGAGAGGGAGGGAGAGGGAGGGAAGGAGAGAGGGAGAGGGAGAGAGAGGGAGAGTGACAAGTCTTCAGCTGACTTTGGTTTAATGTGGCAGGGTCGCACCTGTCTGTAGGAGGAGGTACATGAGGCTCTGTTTGAAACCTTTAGTAGTTCATTCACGCTCATATCTTAGTGGTGCTAAAACAAAAGTTACAAATGTAACTACAGTTCTATAAATCCATGGCCAAGTGTGGGCGAATGTTCCTTTTGTGTGGTTTGGGACAAATTTTTCTGTCTGAGTTTGGCCCGCGTCCGACAGAGCAGTGAGTGAATCTGACCCAAGCCTGATAGGCATTAAGATATTTGTGTCTGAACCCGACCGAACCCGACATAGACATAATAACACACGTAGGATAGTTTGTTTGGCCTCTAATGAACATAGAGACACAAAACACAAACTCGGGATAGAGCGAAAATAAGACTTTATTACTCAGCACTTGTACAGTGATAAAATTTCAAATTTCATAATGACACCCAGTGCATTAAACCGCACCATCAATGCAGTTTGAGGTGTTATTTAAAAGTAAAAAGGCAAAAGTAGTTCAGTTGTCGGGTCCTGTCGGACTTCGGTCGGGTTTTCATGCTCTATTTTGCAGATGCGCAGGAGGGATGATATAGACACATGACCATTTCAGACTCATGAAATCCATGTTAACGTGAGCAGTGCACTAGAGACAGATGTGTGCTCCAGTTCCTCTGCACCACAGAGAGCTGCATGTGTGTGCGCAGAAGAGAGAAATATAAAAGAGTATAGAGAGTTACCGAGCAGCACATCGGCCGCCAGCAGGTGCTCCATGACCCCGTCCAGGATGTTGGACTGGAACTCCTTCTGCTGAGTCCTGGTGGAGCGCTCCGGAGAGGCCTACACACACACACACACACACACACACACACTTGCAGTTAGACAGTGGCTCTGGTTGCAACCAAGATCATCTTTGAGTGATCTTGAACATGTTGATAAATTATCTTTAGATTCACTCAAAAATATGAGGCTCTGTGTCTGACAAATAAAACATGAAATTCTGATTTGAATAGGAGCATGGTTCTTAGCCGCCTTATGGAAATGTTGTTAACTTGCCAAAAAACACTACACTACATTAAAGATCCTATGTTAGGGTGACCAAACGTCCGTTTTTCCCCGAACATGTCCGCTTTTGCGTCCTGTCTTGGGTGTCCAGGTTTTTTTTTTAAAGTGACGCAAATGTCCGGGTTTTAATGACCGTTCATTGGGGCCATTAAATTGAGCGTCTCTCGTATCTCTCTGTGCACTCTGAAGGAGCGAGCAGACACAAACAGTGTGTCTGCAACATGCCGAAGCACAAATGCACATTTAACAATGACTTGTACAAGAAATTCTCTGGTTTCCATCTCGGTTGGGAAAAGTGGAAGGCCATGTGCACAGGTTGCGAGGTGAAAGTAGCTCAATGTCGAGGCCCCATCCCCCATCCCTGGTAAGGTGTCTGAGTTTTCACAAACAGAAATATGTTGACCCTATCCTATATTAAGCAAACTGACTCTTGACTCATGTGAGCTTTAAGCCAAGTTATAATGCCGTTACCTCCTCAAAAACAAACCCAGTTTTGCGTTTTGTTTCATTCACACATGTTTAAGTAACCTGTTATTATGAGTCTGTCTACATCTCCAAAATGCTCAGTTAGCTATTTCACTTTCACTTACTTACCTTTATTTCAGTAGACATGGGCAGTTTCAGGGCTGAAATCATTCGAATGATACTAGTGAAGGTGCATGGAGTTTAAAAACACAGTGGAGTACTTCCTGTATTACCTCAAGACATCACATGGTGGAATAAAGTGTTTTCTGTTTAAGACAAGAACTAAATATGCAGAGTTTATGTGAATGAAACAAAACACAACTCCAGGTAACAACATTATAACACAGTATGGGCCCTTCAGGTTGAGGTTTTTGGTCTTATTTAACCTCTACATTTTGTTTGTGGCCCTGAAAACTCTGCATGAAGAACATGTACGCAGTTCCACAGCCTGTAGACCTCCTCCACACCCACCTCGAGCAGCAGGTCCAGGATGGGCGTCTGCTTGCTCGCCGGCATGGTGCACATATTGTCCATGATCAGGACCCTCATGAAGTCCAGCACGTACTTCTTGGCCGGGTGGTTGGTCAGAGATGTCTTGGAGCCCACATTGCAGTACTCAGACTGACTGCGGTTCATGCCCGAGTCCCCAGCAAACACTTTGAACTCCTCTGTGGGAGAGCCGGCCTCATCATCCAGGTCGCTCACCTAAAGACAGACAGGGAAGCAGTCAGACCAGTTAAACAGACTCATTTTTCCAGTTATTTATTGCAATTCAAGTCGTGCAAGTCCAATGAAGAGCTTGAAATGGTACAAAGGTAAAAACTGAACAGACAGAGGTAAAAAAATAAATAAAATAAAACAAAACACAAGTCCATGCTCTGCCAAAACTATCTCAGGAAAAAAGAACAAAATGGTAAGCTTAAAACATGGAACGGCCAGCAGCACAGTGTCCAGACTTAACCCCCATGGAGCTGATTTGGGATGAACTGGACAGAAGAGGAAGAACTTTGTGAAGAAGATTTGACTTCTATTGCCATAGGTGGCTACTTTCATGATTCAAAACTTTAGAATCAGAATTAGAGCAGTGTCTACAGTTAGCATCACACCCAGGGAATGTTGATGACATCAGCTGCCAGGTGGGTCAGTCCATATGAAATCAGCCGCCCTCCCCTGTGGGCCATGTCAGATTTGGACAAAAAAAAATTCAAAACATTTCTAAAATTACCAAAAGAAAGAATCAAAAATTTTAGCTCAATCCCTTGAGTCGTTCCTGAGTTATGGTCCGTTGAAATTTTGGGGCCTTGCTCACTTTTTCAGAAGCCTTAATTTATGAGCATGTTTATGACCATAACTTCATAAAAAATAGAGCTAGGAAGCTAAAAGTTGTATTATTGTAGTTGTATTATTGTAGATTCTTGGTCATAGATTCTAAATCTGTTGTCAAATATTGTGTATCTTTATTAAGGGGGCGCTGTGGGTGAGTGTGAGTGCAGTCAATATTTGATTGCTGTCAGTTGTCTGAAGACTGGTCCTTGCAGCTGAGCACCATCACAAACAATGTACCACAAATAATCTCCAATTGTCTTCCCTTAGAACAAGCAAATAGTGTTTAAGTCTGTTAAAGATAATTGAACCTTTCTGCAGGTGAAAAAGTCCCTAAGCTCCACTAAAAATGACCCATCAGAGCTCATTTTCAAAAATTACATTTGAAATGAAGGAAGTTAATAGTAGATGTTTTTATTACTTTAAACTAATCAGAATATGCCAAAGTTTCTCTGGTAAAAATTTGATCAACATCTACCTGTGCCACATGGGGAACCAAGGCTCCAAAGAAGGGACCAAAAAGATCACATTTGGTCTGTGACCAGATTTAGGACTCTACACCATCCACATGAAAGCTCAGAAAAGTGTGAGATTGTGTCAGAAATGGTCATTCTCTCAAATATTCAGGTTCAACAGTTAGTTTGCAAATATCTGCTTGGAGTAAATAGATCTTGGACCTCAAAAATTGGCAAAAAAATAATAATAATAATTGAGCGGCAACCAAATGTGAGCACCCCCTTAATAAAGATACACAATATTTGACAACAGATTTAGAATCTGTGACCAAGAATCTACAATAATACAACTTTTCAGTTTCCTCTCTTCTCCTCCATGCTTATAAATTAAAGCTTCAGAAAAAGTGAGCATGGCCCAAAAATTTCAATAAGCCATAACTCATGAATAACTGAAGAGATTGAACTAAAATTTTAGATTCTTTCATTTGGTCATTTTAGAAATGTTTTGAATCTTTTTCAGCCAAATCTGAGATGGCTCATAGGGGAGAATCCTTGAAAACAGTTGATTTCATCTGGACTGACCCAGGTATCAATAGTCCCCCATTAATATATTCAATGCTATGACCAGGCTCATATCAATTTGTATAAAAAATACAGAGAGAAATTAATTTGGGCATTTAACTACAGCCAAGAATTAAAAACAGAATTTTTGAAATTATAAAAAAAAAAAAAAAAATAAAATATATATATATATATATATATATATATATATATATATATATATATATATATATATATATAAAAACTTTTAAAACTAATTTATAATATATTTGTTTCGTTGAATCAGGACATAGAATCATGAATATCACTCACCATTTCAGAGTAAGGCCTGATGTTGAAGGGAAAGACTGTGGCTGCCAGAGCGCACAGGAAGTCAGCACTGTGCCACATGGGACCCAGGTCCGGCAGGTTGTGGTACAAGTATCTGAAGAACTGCATCAGAGTGACAGGGTACTCCCGCAGCCAGGAACCCTCCTCCTCAGACTGCCAGGGCTGTGGACATAGACACAGATGAGCAGGGCTCCACCGGTTGTGACAAGTTTCTCATTGCTAATATCTAATTTTCAAAGTATTGTTATTAGATTTGTGATTTGAAAATTAAACTGAATGTGGAATGAACTTTTCCCTTTTGTAAGTTGTAAATTGGGGAAGGACTCCATAAGTTTTTTAAACTTCATCCTACTCCTTTTGAGCGCCAGGTCCCAAATATATTATGTCCATATTTTTGTTATTGTTTTTGAATCTTGTTGTACCTGAATCAAACAAATAAATAAATTAATGAATGAATGTAAAAAGAATAAAAGAATGTATTTATCTGGGATATACAATTATTTGTTTCATAATAGAGTGACGTTAACATACAGATGGATTTTTTGCCAAAATAGATTTCCATTTTTATTCACTAGTGATTAAACTGTTCAAAAAGACAAATCTGATGCACTGGGGACAAACTGGGAATGACACAAAGACTGGGGCAGGGCAGACAAATATACTGTCAACAATCAGCTACATTTTCAATATGTGGGGAAACTCACCCATAAATGCTGATAAACTGATTCCTAGTTGTGTGGGTGCTTGTTCTAGCTCTTTTGAGTGCCTGATGCTAACAGTCATACAGTGTGCTCTCACCAGGTTGAGCATGCTGCGCAGCATGGCCAGCAGCAGCAGAGCGGCCTCAGTGCACACAGAGCTGACAGAGCCCACCACCGTCCCACTGGAGGCCGGGACCCCGAAGATGAACGACCAGATGGAGTCCAGGTCAAACTGCACGAGACAAGCACAGGATCCAACTGTTAGCAAGTTTTATGAAAAAGTCTTTTATGTCATTGATACTCTGCAGTGACATCACGCTGGAGGTGTTCTACATGTATGTGTGTTGTCCTGTTTAGGGTTAGCTTGTAACTGTACTTTTATGTAAGAGAGAATTGTTTAAAGCACAAGCCAGATCATGTGTTGGAGTTCCAACTACGTCAGTTCTTCAGAGTCAGAGAGTATTAAAACAAAGCTTACTCAGATTACTGTCTAACTTGAGTAACAAAACTTCAGACAGAGTAGTATTTTCAGTTAGCTTGAGGGAACGTTAATGACATCAGCTGCAAAGTATCAGTTTGTATTTTTTTAACAAAGCAAACACGACACAGACACATGTACAAAACACATGCATGCACATAAATCACTGAAATCAATCCAAAATATCCCAGGAGTTTTAACTTCCCCGGGTTGATAATTGTGCTGAAACGAGCAAGTGTGTTTGTACTGAGCCGCACATTTAACACATTTTGGGTGTGGGATGATGGGATTTTTGGGATGATTTTGGTCATTTTTATTTTGTTTTTGTTTTGTTTTGTAGTACTTTATTGTCCCTGTATTACTTTATTATCCCATCCTTTCAGGAGCAGTGGAGCACATGGGGGTTCCCGAAGACCCATTTATGTCATCTTGTTGCTAGGCTTGGTCAGGACTACCTCAGCTGGTAGGTTTTTGGGTTGATGGGGGAAACTGGAGTGCCCTGAGGAAACCAGGGAGAACATGCAAACTCCACACAGAAAGGCCCAGGCGACCCGGGGATCGAACCCGAAACCTTCTTGCTGTGAATGTGTAAGTGCTAGAGACTCAGCTACAGTGCCACTATTGTAATTCAAATTTACTCCAAACTCATCCACAGCCTTCTTTACAACAAACACTTCAGAGAGCTGCGCTGTCGTGGTGTGTCGTTTTTGGCGAGATGTCCATCCATCTATCCATTTTCTTCCGCTATCTATAGTGTTCCTTCACCCCGGGCATTTCCTCCAGCTCCTCCAGGGGGACCCAGAGGTGTTCCCAGGCCAGCTGAGAGACATAGTCCCGCTAGTGTGTCCTGGGTCTTCCTCGGGGCCTCCTCCCCAGTCCACTGGACGGAACACCTCCTGAGGGAGGTGCTTAGGTGGCATCCGGAACAGATGCCCGAACCACTGCAGCAGGCTCCTCTCGACGTGGAGGAGCAGCGGCTCTACTCTGACCTCCTCCCGTGTGACAGAGCTCCTCACCCTATCTCCAAGCTCATGGCCATAGGTGAGGGGACTTTGAAGCGATGTATTAAAAAAAAAAAAAAACCTTCATGTGAGATTCAAGGCTGAAACCTGATAGTTATAGTTAGAATCGTTGTATTCCAGCCTTCAAGCCTCTATGTATTTCTTACATTTTCACATGGGTGGTGGGATTTCTGCTTAAGGCACATATTTGGAGCACAACAGCTCCAACCAGATGTGAGCTGAAGCACATAGGTGAGGGAGATGAGGGGCACACACAGAGACACCGGGCAGATGGGTAGAGTAGGAGAGTTGTACTGACATGTACCTGTAGGCTGTC